CGCAGGAGTGATGAAATCCAATCACACCTCCAGGGGTCAAACAGCGGGTCTCCCATATTGCACGCGGGATTACTGTAGTTGCTGATAACATGTGCGAACTAAGAGCGGGATTGTAGGATCCTCGTGTCTATTTTGATCCACTCGATCCTGGTAGCTCTTTACTATGAGGACGCTACCCCCACCTGGGGGGCCTACCTTTACACAAAGGGTTGTAGGAGTATGGGACAGTCATGTTGTTGGAGCCCATTTCCTCGGCTTCCTCCATGAAACAACTGGATAAGATCCTTAAGTCAGTTGGCTACTATCTATCTTGTGGGCTGGAATGGCCTTCTCTGGTTTTGTGATCTTTGTTCTTAAAGTTGTGAATGGCTTGATCTGCCAGTTGTGCCTCACGTCGGGCTCTGTTCATCTTCCTTACACTGTTTAGTAAAGCGGTCATTCAGGAATGTGACAGCCTGTCACAGAAATCTCCAGAATGGGGAGATGCAGAAGAGCAAAAAAGAAAACCTGACATATTTGGTTCTTTAGTTTGCTTGCAGGCTGTGATCTGCCTGCCTTTGGCTTTATGGTCTCTGAGGCCCTAATTATTATTCAGCTAGCTGTCATAGTCTCCAAGCCGTCTATTATCCATGTATGTACGTGTGTGTGCGCTCTCTGCTTTAAGTGGATTAGTGGCTAGAGATTAGTGGAAATAAGATATCAATCCCAAGAGGAGAAGAGGTTTTGGGTGAGTGGGAGTTTGCAGATGGGGTGTGTGTGGGGTACACTGCTGTCAAAAGTGAATGCAGAAGAGGAAATGAAATTGATGGTGAATGAAAGCTAAAAGGATCTCTTGTATCGCACCCCTATAGTTTTATTGAACCCGGGGATGAGGACAAATATCTGTCTTCCCCAACCCCTATTCTCACTCAATGCTTTTTAAGCCAAATGCAGTTTAGTAAGATGTCTGCCCATTAAACTACAAACAGCCACTAAATCTAAGATGTGCCTTAAGCTAAATTTAGAAAAAGTAATTGAATCATTAAATGCCTTATTGCTTCTGCTTTGAAAATAGCGAAGCGAAACACCCTTAACCCCTCTGGAGTTTACAGTGACTCACTGGCTGGTGTGGAAGGGAACTCGAACCAGGAACAGTCCCCATTCCTTTAAGTCTAAGGATTTTAAGAAAAGGTCGCTCGGCTGTGCTCCAGGAAGAAAAGGTTAATGCTCCGCTTCCGTGTTGGAAATCTATCTGGTGAAACTGCCAGAACGTATCGGCGTGTACAACTTCAATTACCAGTTCCGCTCGTGCAGCTTGTTCAGTAATAATACAGAAGAGTATAGTTTTCAGTCTGGGCTGCCTTAGAATCGATCTGTCTTAAAGAAAAAAGAAAGGTATTGTCCTGTTGTCGCATTCAGTTCCGAAAGCCATTCTTCTCTGTGCGGGAAAACGAGGAGGGCGAAATTGAGCTTGGTGGTCTCTCTGGAGACAGATTCCAGGTACAGAGGCAGACGACATGCTTTGTCCTCCCAGTGCTGTTTTATATCGAGGCCACGAATTCAGTGTGGAGGTCTGACAAAAGGGAAGGAACAGATAGCTTTACACATGCTGAACGTGCTACATATTAATACTCATTACCTGAAGTTCAGTCCTTCCTATGCTGGTTTGATTTTGTATTTGGGCAAGTTAACTGAAGATGTAAATGAGTCAAAACCGCGCAGCGGCCCGTGGGGCGCCAGGGCTGGCACTGTGCCCGCCGCCCTCTTTCAGCGCCCGTCTCTTTCGCTCCCCGCGGCCTGCCAGCGCGCTCGCTCTGCTGTATCCTGTGAAGCATGATTTCATCTAAAATCAGCCAAATTAATTTGCTGCCAGTATTAATGACTCTGTTCATATTGCACACCAACTGAGTACAACCATGGTTTTACATTGTCTTACTGTGCACACAGTATTACAGTGTTTCCACATTAGAGGCCTTCAAGAGGTCTCTTAAGTCTTCTTGGAGTCTTCTGTGACATGAAACCCATCAGACTGGTCTAATTCTAGGCTCTAGAGAGTCAGGAGCACTGCTCTACACTGGACATACATATACATCGAGTTACTGTGGTTCTGGTTCTCTATTGATAAACCAGTCTTTATAGGGACTGGTAGGGAACATCCAGCTGGGGATGTCTGGAAGGATGAAAGGCTTGTTAAAACTGTTAGCATCTACTCAAGTTCAGGGACACAGTGGGGGGAAAGGGGGCAGGTCTGTGAGAGGAAGAAACCATTCAGATTAAGGCTTGAGGGAGCTCTGGGGGAAATAAAGGCCAGTTACTTACGGATATTACAGCTGTTAATTCACGATCTTGCATCTCTTTTCATGTAATTACATGGAAACATTTCAGCAACAGCAAGAACAAAGCCCTGAATCCCGTATTCTACCAGTTCTTATATTACAGTAATGAAGAGAAAAAGAGCATAACCTAAACTTAGATGGCATTTTTCGTGGATTTCTTCTGCGTTGTTCTAGCAAACACCTGTGTTTGTGTTATCTTTGTTCTTGGATTGCCAGATTCTCACACTTGTGTGATATGTTTTTCTGTGCAGGTGTTGTGCTCACACCACAGTAAATGTGCTCAATTTCAGACTCTTCCGAAAGCCTTCAGCTTCCAGCTTATCCTTATATTTCTCTGTACTTTACCAAGCGCTCACCAAGAAGCTCAAGCCTTGAGCAAGAACTCAGGCTGCTTCTTTCCTTTCATCTCCTGCCTTGCGGCATCTCGTGATGAAGAGCTTTTTGAAAAAGTCTGTCGGATCTCCACTCAGGAAAGTGGGAACTTGAGAATCGCGACGAGAAGGTGGCAAGTAGTTTTGAAGGCTTCCGCACTGTTCTCTACCGTCTCTCATGAACAGTCCTGAATAGTGTCGGACGTCTTCCGCAGAGCTCTTGCAGAATCCTCATGGCCGCAGGCCTCGTGGTGTCGAGAATGATACTTTACGTACAATAGTAACCCCACAGTAGCATGTTGCAACTACAGATGCTGCAAGAATTCTTTGCCTTCAAGCAGCTGTTCTCTAGACATGGAAAAATCGATGCCACACGATTATGATAGAGATGTTTTGCTCTGAGCTGCAGGCACGGGGAGTGTTGGAGAACACCACGCTTCTCTGAAATCCAGCATCAGAATCATTAATCCATGGTCTTTTTACTTACAGCAAGATACTCTACAGTTCTGAACAATGGCTTTTAGAAAGCAGAAAATGCCACACAGTAAAATGTGCACAACTGCCTGGATAGTGGATCAGACTGCTATAGGGAGTGTCCAGTATGTGATACGTTATGACAGAAGAGCCTCTGGGGGTACTGTTGTGTTAATTCGCCATTGTGGATCTGTCGTACTGACGACGCAGAACATGTCCTGTCTTTTTGTTGCGTTTCTGTTCCTAGAGCTGCTGATATGATTCTGTCAGAACAGGGTGTAAATGCGCTTCTCTCCGTGTTGCAGAGAAGCTGGTTGCCTACCAGCGCGAGTTCCACGCCTTAAAAGAGCGCCTCCGAGTGGCCGAGCACCGCACCCTGCAGCGCTCCTCTGAGCTCAACGCCATCCTCGAGCAGTTCAGGAAGGCCATTGCAGAAACCAATGGCAGCAAAGATGCACTCACCAACTTCTCAGGTAAGGGTCGGCTCTCTGACCGTCTCCTGCGGGCAACAGCTCTGCATGAATATTCACAGAGGTGCTCATGTCTGCTGTAATGCCAGTATATAGGGGGCAGCGTCAAGCACTCACATCATCAAGAATCATTTCTGCCTCTGCTTTGTTGTGAATCTCAATTCCTTTAACTTTTGGGATTGAATAAAAACCCAGTTTCTGTTTGATTCATGCGTTTTTGTCTGATTAAATGAATGATGTGCTCAATAAGATGAACTGTAGAACCTGCAGGATTGATCCATATCTTTTGAAATTGGCAAATTAATCATTACTCACTTTACAAATGAGGAGGTTGATCTAGATCCCAACACTAGATGCTTTGAGCAGTAGCGTGTGGAGTTTTGTTCCTCGTGATTTTTGCCTACATGAAAAACTGGATAGTGTCCATTGTCAATCGCAAGATGTTAACATGCAAAAGTAACATACTGGTCGTTGATGTGAACAACCACAACAGCCTTGAATCATCTTTTAGCCACTGAAGAGTCACACCGTTTTTTAAGAAGGATGTTACTACTCTTGGGAACTGTACTTAATCAAGGACAGGCAAACATTTCAACGTCCACTAGCTTATTGTGTGTGTGCGCTGAGCATATCTCACCAGTTAAACCACTGAAAGATTAGTCTTTTTTTAACATGCATTTTTGACATGCATGTATGCTGTAACAATGACGAATTAATACAAATATGAAAAACTCTTTGCACCCTCTAGGTGCACCATTTCTTGGCATGCATGTGCTTTAAAAACGCAGGATTTGATCCACTGATGTTTTCTAAATTGTCCCATTTCTCTGTGGGTCTATGATGGTCTGCCATCTCTTGCTTCCAGGATAGGATAGAGTTGAGAGACCCTCATCAGGGGCACCAGAAAGAATGGCTCACTGATAATGAATGTCCAGGTTTTAGATGGGGTGTGTGATGAGTTCCTGAGAGTATGAGCACAGGGTTTTGAATTAACCACACAAATTCCCCTGCTTCTCCCTGGATGATTCTGTTGACTTTGATCCGTTGGTACCATGAGTTTCTGCTGTGCTCTTGTTAACAGATGAGACACAGAAGCTGCTGAAGGAGCTGGCTCACAGAAAACCGCTTCAAGTGCCAAATATCTACTACCACCTGCCTCACCTCCTCAACAATGAGGAGAGTCTTCACCCGGCGGTCCAGGTGGGCCTCGGAAGGACAGGAGGTGAGCATCCATGCTGGGAGCGCCCTGGAGCTCCTCGACCGCTGCCCGTCTTTCTCAGCGCCCTGCTACAGACATGGGGGATTGCAGCTCAGACTGGACAGCCGTCGAGCCACGTTTAGAGACCGGTCTGAGATGTAACGTCTTGGAGATTCTGTCCGCCATATAGTGAAAAGAGGTTTGGCATACTTAGCACGTGTTTTACACCTGTACTCTTCCAGCTGAGAAGACCTGTAAGGGAGGGGCTGTCAGACCCTCGCCTCTTTAAGGAAGCCAGGGTGAGCCAGGGCGCTGCTGTGGGTGTGAAGATGGGGAGGCAGGGGTGCAAAAACAAAATGTGCAAGCTAGTTGGCAAGAAGGGCTATAATGCTGAGATTAGGGTTTGACCTCATCCCCAGCTATTGATTTAGACTCCATTTTGTGTTCTCTTTATCTCTGAAAATGCTGATTGACTCATTAAGGTGGAAACGGACAGTTTTAATAAAACAAGGTCTCCTAATTTGTGTTCTCTTTATCTCTGAAAATGCTGATTGACTCATTAAGGTGGAAACAGACAGTTTTAATAAAACAAGGTCTCCTTCATGCCCTTGGGTAGGGTTGATCAGTTGCTTAACTGCCCGCCTACATTAACCAGCCAATTCCCCAAACATTTTAGAAGCAGTCTTCAAATAAACTCATTGAGTAGTGAAAGGTGTGAGTTAGAGCTGAAAGATAATTGAAAGGTAGTGTAACTTTGCCATGACTTGGTAACGGCGCTTTCTGGAAAAATCCATCCCAACGGCCTTTTCTTCCGCTGTTTTGCTGTGGAAAAGCTTGTTCGAGGCGTGGGAGGTTCGCGCTGCTGGACCATCCGGTGATGCAGACGGTGCCTGAGGAGCGGCAGGAAGGGTAACCTATAGGGGTGAGGAAGTGCCCAGGGTGGGAGTATTGCTGGGGGCCTATCGACAGGCTGAGCACAGCGCGCCCCTACTCCCAGCAGGCTTAGCAGGAGGATGAAAGGAGAATCCAGGAGGGCAGCTATTGATCTTTTCTTTGGAATGGAGATGTGTTCTAAAATTCAATCAGACTGAAAGGCGGGCGAGAAAATATAACTTCACTGCGAGACCCAGATTTGGCAAACTGAGGTCACTTGGGTTTAACTGCCTTTCCTGGTTAGAGCCAGCAGGCATGAGGTGACGGCAGGGAAACAGTAAGCCACACATTGCCCTTTCATTCCTGCTGTCGCAGGCGTGAGCTGCCAGGACAAGGGGCTCTTTTCTGGGTGTAAAGCCCCCGGCCGCCATTTTTCATCTATAAGAACTTGGCAATTTCCAAAACTTGAGTCGTGGAAAAAAAAACAAACAATGTTATATGGTGAATCACTTCTTGTGTTGATATAAGAGTCTCTCACATTCCAGAGGAAGTGTTATCTAAAACAAAAAAAAAACTTCAAATTGCTTTGTTCACTTTCCAGGTCCAAAGACAAGCTGATTCATTCATAAGCCAAGTGAAGAAAATAAAATAAGGAAGTTTAATTTCCTTGGCGGATTCAGTAAGCATAACTTTGTGTTTTAGCTTGTAGAAGAGCAAAGGCTAAGAGCCAGCCTCAATGACCGTTTCCTGTGCCCTTTTAATCTAAGTCCCTGTGTTTGTATGAAACGTGTGCTTCTGATATGAGGTGGATATTATTAGAAGTCCAAAATGGGACGTCTTGTCCCTACAGAGCACGTTGCCTGCTGAAACCAGGCCGCCTCTTTCCGCGGGTGCTTCTTCGGCGGCAGGGAGCTTGAGATTGTGTGAAGGCCAAGCCGGGATCTGTCACTGAGCTCTTCAGCTGAACATCAGCTCCCAGGAGGAGGGGGCGGTTCCTCGCTTGTTCCTCTTTAACCTTGAACCAAACAGATTTGCTCAGAGCACTCCAGTGGTGAAGTCTTCTGTGCAGCAGTTTGCATAACCATAAATGAGAGGAACTTTGCATCAGTGTGATGAAACAAAAATAGAGATGCGCCAAAAAAATAGCATTTGTAACATCTTTCTCCTATAACATCAACAGCGCAGAGATACGAAGCCAAGCTGTGTGGAGCTTAAAGATGGCCCAGAAATAGTGAGTCCAGTCAGGTAGTTGGTTTGACCATGATAATTATGCCTTTGCTTGTTTTTGTATTCAGGCAGATATTTGTACAGGATGACAGTTAGCTGAGTTAATGAGTGTTTGAGTGTGTACCTGTATGACATCAGCCTTGTGTATTTCAAAGGCCTTTAGACTGTAAACACACCCCTCCCACATGCCCCACATTGATATCTTCACTCAGCAGAAAGAGTGCTTATCGAGACCCCAGGGCTTCCTGTGTCATATTTCAATGCAGAACTTTTCTCCACTCCTTAGGCAAGGAGTGAAGGCTCTGTGCCACCTTCGGCAGTTTGTTTAACAGTTATCATGCAGCACGGCCTTTACAGTGCTCTGGGCTGATAAATTTCAGGGGGAGAAAAAAATGGGTATCATTTTCTTTAGTCTCCTTGCTTGTTTTTCTGCCAGTTTACTTACCTCTGAGTTGTTCTCGGGTGTTTGACGAAAAGGGAACTTCTTTGTTGTAATTTGAAAGGAGTGCTGAAGCTTTAGGACACTTAAGGAGAAATTAAAATAGACCTCCCCCTGGGCGATAAAAATCACTGTCAGTTCTTGAGCTTGCGTTTGTTGACATAACAGTGACCCTTTTAGTCAGAACAAATGTTTTTATAATAGTAATTTATGCATTAGTTTATTATGTTTGTTGATAACTGCTTTCAAGATGACTTACAAGTAGGAAATTACTTTGGAGCATTGGAGACCAGAAATCATAATTCTGGACTCAGACTGGTAGTTTAGTGGAAGTCCTGGAGCTTGGTTGTGACTCAGAAAGGTTATGGTCTTGGTTTAAGGGTACAGTACAGTCTACCAAGGAAGTCCATGCCTGATGCAGATTACTTTAAAAACCCAGAGCTCATGCTGCTTTTGGGAACATCTCGGAATATTTCTGAACATCTCCAGGCTATTGGAGTGCCCTGTATTTTGAGGGATTTCGAGAGATTGCACTAGGTATGAATTGGGAAAATGAACTTGAATGGGTTCTCCTGCAGTCCCCTGTAGAGCCCTTTCACTGTCTGAGTTTTTGCTGTTGATCTGGGTTTTAACTGAAGTGAGGAAATGTTCCTGAAAGCATTGGAGGCTTTTGGCTGGTCCTTGGCTTTAGAGGTGGTATTTGAATAAGGCAGTAGGGTTGAAGGAAATGGGGGGAGGGCATTTGAACATAAACAAACATGAGAACAAGCACACAAAAAATGTTCAGTTTCTGCAGTCTGCACTTCTGCTGGAATTCAAAGATTTTGAGATCTGTGCCACAGCTGAAGATACGGTGACGGGACAACACCCACGGAATATCCTCTGGGCTGCCCTGAGCTTTCCAGCAGAGAGCGGACAATATGCTACTGTCCAGCCTGCCTTCTCAGGTTAAACTGTAAAACTGCAGAGACTGCTGCCAAATGTGCACACCTCCTACTCCATAATGAAAGAATTCACCCCTAAGAAACACCTCTGGCAAAACTGGTTCACTGGTACGATCTCATTTCAAAACTTCAAAGAATTGTAGAACACAAGTTAGACACTGCCTTTTCTTAATCCACATTCTTATAGTGCCATCGCTGTGTTTTATAAATGTCCTTCTAGTGTAGCTCTGTTTTTCTCATATTGTGTCAAAGACTACAAAGACCAATCTTATAATTTTGCCTAAATTGCTGATTTAGTGCTAGGGTTCAGAAGCATTTGGTATAAAAGAGATTGACTATGAAACATTATTTTTGTAGTCTGGATGGGGGATGGCGACACAGCTAGACCTCTTTTCTCACCTGTTTTATTTTTATCTGTAAATGGGTCAGCTAATGTCACAGCAGTCCTTTGGGAAACGAGGTGTTATTTGGGGAGTCACTGTAAGGAAATGAACAGCAGCTTATTCTCCCTGTTGAAACAGTCCATTTGCCTTGGTGTGTGGTTTTCTGATGGTCGTTTTTGGAGAAGTGTATTTCTTTTCAGTCTTCTACTTGTAATAGCTGGAGGTGAAAAATACAAGAACATGAGTGCAGCTGCAGATAAGAGGAAGCCATGCAGCCCATCTAGCCTGTCAGCAGGATGTTGGTGGTTAGTGCTTTAGCTCATTGATCTGTGTATCTCATCCACGCAGGATGTCAGCTTGAATAAGCTAGCTGGATAGTTTATTTCAGACTCCCAAAATAAGTCTTTCTCAGGACGGTACTAGCCAACATGCCAGTTTCAGTTACAGTAAGTTACATTGAAAATCCTTGGCAGGTAATGAGGTTCATTTCCATGTATGCAGGACTCCTTTGGCTTCGTTATACAGTGTCCTCCAAAAGTCTTGAGGCAGCAATTGCAAAACTTATTTTTGCTTTAAGCTCTTGCAATTGGAGTCAGAAACACCTGAAGAATAGCACAATAGCACAAGAATAACACAAATGCAATGGGTGAGCAGATCTCCGACTTCATGCAGTTATTGTTTCAAAGGGATATTCTTTATAATCTAAGATTTGCTTAAAACTAATGTGTTCTGATGTTTATGGTCAATTAAAATGACTGGGTGAAACACAAAGTGTATTTTTGTTCTAATACGATTAAATGTTTGCATGCAGTTGCCCAAAAATAAAGCCTATTTTGTAATTTTTTTAAAGCTAAAATAGATTTTTAACTTTGTTATTCCAGCTCTTGGAGGGCACTGTACAAGGAAGGTTACACATGTGATGAGACCATTTGATATTTTTATAGGTCTTTGAAACTGCAAAAAAATCGCTGTTATAGCTTATAGTTCTTTAATAAATGCTCCGAATGAGAGGTTAAAGATGTTTAATGGAAACTGCTTAATGTTGCCTCATTAATGGTGTTCCCTGCTGTCTGGCATCACACGGCAGAATTGATAAGTACTGCAGTCTCTTTTGTAATACAGATAAAATGCCAAATGGCGGTGGATTGTTCTCATCTGCTGTGCAGGGCAGGCTTTATGTTAAGTTCCAGCTCAGAATAAAGCTTCACATTTGTCTCTGGTTAGGTCTCTGTTATCGGCTCTACTTTATTTGATCATAAAATATAGTCTGTTTCATATGGATTATACTTTAGTTTAAAGTGTATACTTTATGATTTAGTTTAGGCTTCTTGAAAAACATCCTGGGTCTGCCTAGTGGATGTCAGAAATGTACTTGGTTTCCAAGTCTTTGCGATTTACCCTGGACACACTGGCAGCGCTCGTTGTGTGCTGTTTCCTCCTGCGCTCTAGTGTCCCGGGACAGCCTGTGTCCTGCGCGCGGTGGGCAGCACCTGTTCTCACATGGCCTCCATTGCTTCCCAGTGTCCATCGTCATGGGAATCCCGACGGTGAAGAGGAAAGTCAAGTCCTACCTGGCAGAGACACTGCACTCCCTGATAGACAAGCTGTCTGACGAGGAGAAACTGGACTGTGTTATCATCATTTTTGTTGGAGAGGTATGCTGTCTTTCATTTTTAAAACTTTCCCACCCAGCAGTGTGGCACAAGGCCTGTATTATTCCCCCTGTCTTCCTAAACCCGTGGCCTCTGAGGTGAGTAATACTAAGGCATTGGCCTCCTGCTGTGCTGGTACCTGGCAGGCCCAGTGACAGACTGCTTGCTTTTTGCACCACAAAGACGCTTACTGATAGGGCACACATGGTCTTTTCACTCCATGCATTTTGTTTTCTTAATAACATGGGTGCAGAGCCTTAATAGGGCCAGTTGCACATTTCAATCAAAGTTTATCAAATGCACAACAATACAGTGTGCAGCAGTGCGTGCTGCAATGTAATGTCTTTTCTGCAAGCTCACCCGGGGGGGGGGAGGGTGGTGGTGAAAATCACAAAATTTAAAGTTTGTGGGTGTGCAGGCAAAAAACCAGGTGATTTGTGGGACCTGCCCCTCTTTTATCCTTGCCTGAATGGGATTAGTTACAAAGGAAGAAAATGTATTTAGCTGTTTTACAACTTCAAATCTGGATTGGTGCTTTTTGTCTTCACTGGCTCCATTTAAGGGGCTTGACTCTTGGGATCTAAGCTTTCCTGGCAAGAAGGTAAAATGAATGTCATGGTGACTGCTGGGAATCCTGTGTCAGTACAATATGGCAAAGAGAACCCTTCATCTCAGAGGGTGGAAGTCAAGGACTGAAAGCCCATAGGGAAAATGACACCTGAGCTTTGGGAAAGGATGTCAGAACCTCAAGATAAAGCTGGTACCCCCCCGAGCTGAGTCTCATTCAGTGTTTCTTCTTCTGCTGCTGCTGTCGGACCTGGGAGCAGCCCTTGAGCCACAAGCCCTGGAGACGGCTCTCAGTGACCAAGCGTTTGTCTTTTCTGTAGCTCTTGGCATGCAGGGCTTGCGCCTCAGTGAAAACACTGGGGGTCCAGTGCTGCAAGTCTAGCAGTGCACAGCTCCAGATGGCTTATAAGGCTTGTACATATCCAGACGTATTCATATCCTTGATCTGGAACTAGATTTGCATTTTACCCAAAATTCTAGGTGTATATTCAGTATTTTCTGATGCAAGTAAAAAACTGAGCATTTTATGAATTTCTCTATGCACATGTACTGTTCAGTAGGTGCATATGTGCTTGCCGACAGGTTCCAGCTCCCCTGTGACACTGAATTGAATGAAGCAGTTAGAAAATGGGTGGATTTCTAAATGCACGAGGTTCAGATGTGTTCGTACCCTGGCAGTTGCTGTTTAGTGACCTCTTTTTGGCTCTGATCACCTCGAGGAGGTGATCCCTGTAGCCCATTAAATGGTTGTTAAGCTCACTGCGAGACTGTGCGAGACCACTCGCCCATGAGGAGCTTCTCCAGCCCCTCCACATTGTGCAGTCAGAGCTTGATCTGCTTTCCTCCATTTCCATGAACGTCCAGCTAGAGATGGCGATGACCAGTCAGGAATATTTATCCCAGACTTAACCATTTGGTCACTGAATCGGACACAGGCCATGTGCAACCAAGCCTGAGCTTGACCGAATCGTTTTCATTAAAATGTCCTGGTAAAATTTGGTAACTGTCTAGTTTGATCTAGAATGCCAGAATCAGAGGATTGACCAGCTCTAGAAAAGATCTGTTTCTGTTTTTCACAAAAGGGAGGATTATTTGTCAACAGGAGAGTCATCCTACTGTGCTAATCGTACTTGAATTTGGCAAACATGAACTGGAAACAGTTTTTGGATACTGTCTTTTCAGAGGCAACATGAGCTTTGCCACAGATGCCAGGCTTATGAGGTCAGCCTTGAATGATGGACATGTTGTAGTCAGATGATGTTTATTTAAAGTTTTCCAGTTGCTACCCCTGTGTTAGTTATCTTTCCAATTACTTTTCTGAACCTGCATTTGGGTAAATTGCTTATGTCTTGATCCTGGTGTAACAACTATCCCATTATCCTTCAGCTCAAAGGTTGAAATTGGCATGGCTTATGGATTTTTTTTTTGTAGTTTTCATGGAGTTATTGAAATCAGTAATAATTTCCCCAAAAGCTCCAGACCTCTGTCTTTCCCCATGATGACATGAAGTCTTTTTCTTCTCTGTCCGCCTGCTGTAGTGTTGTATTGGTTATTATAGTGATTTTCAGATGCTTTCAAGAAATACTCAATGATATAAAATAAAAGAGGATTCAATTTGCCTCCTTTTATTTTCTCAAAATACACAGTTTGAAGAAACTCAACTTTGTTAATTTAGAAATGTATTATTATACACCTTTCTGTTTTGCTGAATCTTTACTTCTTTATTTACTTTACAGTTACTGTTCATCGAGGGTATGAATAGTAGGCTACTGTGCATTTGTATGTTTTCAGCACTGTGTGCATTGCTAACAACAAAGAAAGGTTATAGGATTTAGAGAGTCCTTTCAAACCCCTTTTTTGTCAAGCTGGAACATTGTGTGCGGAAGGTTGTGCAAGACATGTGGCCAGAATTAGCCATGGTATTGTAACACATTCCAAACACCTGTCCGTGCTAAAATTAACAAATTTTCCTCATGGCGTAATAGTTTGCACAGTGTTATCTCCGTTTTGCTGCTTGTTTCAAAGCATGGAAACGGCACTTGTTACACTACTGTCCTGATAAGTCAAAGTCACGAGTTCCTGCATCTCATTTGTTTTTTAATAAAAAAGAAAAAGGAACAATTGCTGTACGGATTCTGTCATATATTCATCCATCCAGTACAGCCTAATCCAGCGAGCAGCTGGACAGGACAGAGACACCGACAAGTGCACACTCACACTTAAGGCCTGGTTTCCCAGAAGTCACTTAACCTACCAGTATGTGTTTGGACAGTGGGAGGAAGCTGGAGTATCTGGCAGAAACCCATGTGAACATGGGGAGAACATACAAACTCCACACAGATAGCACCTTAGGTCTGGAGTTCAGCCCAGGATCTCAGTGCTGTGAGGCAGCAATGCTAAGGACTGTGCCACCATGATGCCCATATATTACGTGTATAATTCTGTCTATAAGACTAAGATACCTACAGTACTTTGAGATCATATCTTGAATATATGTAATTTGTACATAAAGAATTGATTATGTTATATACATATGCGTGGGATCACCTCATAGCCTTCTGTTTTAGACAATATATCATATTATTTTGTTGGCCTTTTTTATTGCTTCTGCATGTTGTCTAGATGATGGAAATTTTGTCAGACGAAACACCTAAGTCATAAGAGGCTTTTTCAAGCTCAGTGTTTCCTGCCTCGTGTTTATAATTGATCTTTCTGCTGCCTGCATGTGACACTCTGCACTTATCTACAATAAATGTCAGCTGCCAGGTGTCTGCCCAGTCTTGAATTGTATCCATGTTTTTTTTAATTTCCTTTGCAGCTACTGTAGTGTTTGCTCACACTCTAATTTCGGTATCATCTGTGAACCAGTAGCTTTTATAATGAAGGACTTGACATACTGTAATAGCTCACCGTCTTCTCAGGAACCATTCTTCCTGCAATTATCCCACACACTAGATGCTGGAGCACAGAGCCGGATGAAATGAGATGAGTAAGAAACCGCAGATCCTGTCTGTCTCTGCCCCATGCCGTGACCCACCACAGTGGTGTGATTGGACCAACTCTAAGTTCTGATCTCTACTTTAACAGCCTATGATCTAGATGTTTTTTCTCTAATTGCAAGACCTAAATTGTGGGTCCCCTAATGTGGATTTCCAATTTCTAGCCATTAACCAGTTTTCAATCCAAATAAATGCATGGCTTTGAAAGACTGCCCATTTTCAAGTTGTTGTTAAACGTTAGTGGTGAATCGTACATTTTGAGAGGATCTCTCTTGAGGACTTGAGTATGGTTCAGCTCTTAATCCGAGACCAGTTGGCTCAAACCCTCTCTGCGGAAGACCAGGCACCACACTGTGGGCAACAGTGCTATGTGCTCAGCCCACGGTCCTTATCCACTGGTGCAGGGGTCTCCATTCCCTGGTCCTGGGGAGCCCCAGTCCAGGTAGTGTTATTAGTGCCTGGTTTTAAAGACTGGCAATACCTGTCATCTGTTTCATTAAGAGAACTCTCGTTCCTGAATGCAGAAGAGTGCTTAAATTTTAGTTCTAAATGATCTGTTGTGTTACCCATTTGAACAAATCACTTGTTTAATTGATGTCAATGGAATTGTTCCATATCTACAAATTGGTTATTTATTGGTGACCCATAAAACTGGTTGGATTTCCTGCATTTGAGTCTGTACCTGCTGACACTTTCAAAACTCGCTTTGAAACCCGATCGAGCGCTGTAGCTGTTAATGTGGATTTTGGCTTGACTTTTGTATTTTATTTTACTTCTGTTGCATTGTGTACATGTAGTATTGGACAGTGCCTTGGGTGTTTTGAAAAAGACTTCACCTATGTTTCTGTGAATTGTCTGTATAGCTTGTTAATATGTAGGTTTAATAGGCACATTGATCTGTAATTACTTTGTCTAGGGTTGTCACCCCCTGTGTGGATTTCTGCATCAGCAATTTCCCAGGCGGTGGTTATTGTTCCTGTCTTGAGCAGCTGTTGGAAGAGTTCAGTTAAGGCTACATAAATGATATTTTTAATGCAAGCAGAGTCTTAAGTGCTTCTTATATTGGTAAAGTACTAGCACTGTCTGCCTGTTCTTGACTAATATATATAATATATTACTGACTGTCAGGGTATTATATCACACTGTATTATACAGGACTTACCTGTACCTCAGCCTGGAGTTTTTTTGGTAAACACCAAACCACCCCTTATTTCTGGGACACATTACTTCATTGTTTTTCACTTGTGGTCCTGAAAGATTGTGTATTTGTTTCGGCCTCCTTTGCAATATTCCTTTCTTTTTCATCACTAGCATCTAACATACGAGGTCCTGGGCCTGAATGCTCTTTCTGATCTTCCACGTCTCTCCCCTCTTTTCCCTGTATCTCCACTAATTCTTTGTATCATCATTGCTTTTTTTCTGTGATTCCAATTACATCCTTGTCACATGCCACTATTTCCTGGATATTGTTTCTAAGGTTCCTGGTATTTAGGTGCAAACACTGTTTTTATTTTTTTTTTTTTCGTTTGAGTTCTGTTTTTGTTTCTACTCCCTATATATCTCCCTTTATTTTCAGCTGTTTTTGATTTTCTCTGGAGATCCTTACCCTAAACCAAACATTGAGCTGTTGAACATTGAACTTTCATTCAGCTGTAATATACTGTATAATAAAAAACATGAGACCTTCACTTTGGTTCTCTGGTTCATGTTTCCCTCCTGGTTCCGAAGACATCTCCTGTGTTGACTGTCTTTTTGAGAATTTTGAACTCTTGTGTTGTATCAGGTCCTCTTGTAGCCTTTTCTGTTCAAGGCAGTTCCTTGAGCCCTGGGATTTATCTGGCTGCTTTCCTCTGGGCTGAATCCAGAGCAGCCTAAATTCTCAAAGCCGCCAACGTGATGTGCACACAACAAGAGAGTTGAGGTTGTTGATCTTCGCAAGAGAATTTGTCACCAAAAGAAGAGATCAATGTGCTTGTGAAGAAAGCTAACACCATGCCATGCTCTGGGTTTGTGTCCCATACAAAAAGATTTAAAGTGTTTTTAACGAGATGTGACCTTTATTTATCAAATTCACGCCTGAGTGAAGTGCTATTGATTTTCATTTGTTTTGTTTTAATTTGCTCAAGTTGACTTGACGTGGGCGTGAATGTTTTTGGAATTTTCCTCATTTATATTGCAAGGCTGTTTTCAAGGTGCTATGTCTTTGTTTTGTCTCTGCAGACAGATCTGGATTATGTGCACAGTGTCGTGGAGAGCCTGGAAAAAGAGTTGAGTGATTTTTTTATTTCTTTTTTTCCTTCCCACCCCCTTCCATTTTACCCAGACGAGGCAAGATGCCAATCGGTATTTTAAATTCTGTAATTGTCCGGAAAAATGCTTGCTTTGAAGAAGATTGGCTGCAGTCATGAAGATTTCCACACTGTGTGAAGCTGTGGTATGCGAGACGTTAGTTTTTTGTGACTTTAAAGGCTAGCGGGTCTGCATTAAGCAGGCTGTTTAGAGAACCACCCAACAATTATGATTTGTTGTTGCTGACTGATAAAAAGGCCGAGAGTTTTGTTTTCCCTCTTTCATCGTTCCTGGTGGAAGTATTAGACTTGGCATAGATGGATGGTATAGTAGAGAGAGGTAACACGTTTTCACCTTCTCTCCGAGATGACCTGGTTTTACAGAAAACAAATCTTTTGGTTATTCAAATGGAAAACCTGGCTGGATGTTAAAGAGTTATAGTGTATAACGCAGGTTCCGTGTTCGTCTCGGCAATTTGTTGGGAATATCTTTTTGTGTGCAAAAAAAAATTCACTGGGTCTGCAGTTCAAGCTCAAGAGAAACAGCTGGCAAGTAAAATGTGTTCTTCGGGAAATCGTAAGAACAAGAGGGGCTACAAAAGAGGCAGTCATTTGGCCCATTTAGCTTGTTTGTTATTTGATGATTGGTGCGAATAACAAACAAGCAAAGATCTCATCCACCTGTTTCTCAAATGAAGGCAGGTTATGGTCTTTGAGAACATGGCTGGGTAGCTTGTTCCAGATGATGGAATCCCTTTGTAGTAAGAAGGGCCTCCTGTTCTGATCAGAGAATCTCATCCAGCTGTTTCTTCAAAGAAGCCAGAGCTTCGGCTTCAACATCGTGGCTGTGTAGCTTCTTCCACACGCTCACGGTCATTCTCATTCCTGAACATTTGATACTTTCCTAAAATAAAAAAAGGGCTTGTTCCTGTGTCCTGTTCTCCTAATAATCCCCATCTATGAACTGGCTTCATCACTCTGCTCTCCTCCCCACCGAGGTGGGGAAAAATGGCACAAGACTGCCAGTAAGCGAAGCAGTGGTTGAGCAAGCTCTGCCGCGTGTGTGGTGTTATGGCTGCCGTCAGCCCTCTCTTCTTCCTCACAGGTTCTCCACAGAGTTGAATTCAGGGCTGCTGGAAGTCATCTCTCCTCCTGCCAGCTTCTACCCTGACCTGTCCAGCCTGAAGGAGACCTTCGGGGACTCGAAGGAGAGGGTGAGGTAAGAGCTTCTCCCCCTGTCGGCCTGGGGCCTGCCAGCGAACCCGTGAGCAGTGCCTCCTGTGAGCAGCGGTGGGCACTTTTGCTCTCTGCCAGCGGGGACGTCGTCGTCGCCAGTGGCAACGCGCCTGCTTTGCAGTTTTATCGTGTGAAAGCAGCTGTGTGAACATGGCCGCTGAGCTGTAAACCATGAGCATGTTTCCTGAGCTTTGGTCTGTTGATTTGTATTGTACGATAGCTGTATCGCAAATTGTGGGATTTGAAAATCTTTTTTTTTTCCCCCGCTATCGTCAAGTTGAACATCCATGTATTAATAAAACAATTTGCTCTGAGGAATAATCATGTTTTTGAAATCTGAAATGGAAATGTTTAAACCAGGAATGTAAGAATAGTTATTATTTGTTGTCAATAGTTGCCGTCCTTCGAATGAGACGTTAAACCGAGGTCCTGACTCTCTGTGGTTATTAAAAATCCCAGGGTGTTTCTCGAAAAGAGTAGGGTTGTAACCCCGGCATCCTGGCCTACTTTCCCATTGGCCTTTACCAATCATGGCCTCCTAATAATCCCCCTATATGAATTGGCTTCATTACTCTGTTCTCCTCCCCACTGATAGCTGATGTGTGGTGAGTGTTCTGGCGCACTATGGCTGCCGTCGCATCATCCAGGTGGGGCTGCACATTGGTGGTGGTGGAGGGGAGTCCCCATTACCTGTAAAGTGGAGTGTCCAGTTATTATTAATTATTAAATGAAAGGAGACCATTTTAACTACTTGGATCAGGTCCCCTTCTTCTTCTCTGTTCAGGACTAAAAAGGATGTCCACCAGGCGATGTATCTCATCACTCTTCTCTGAGCTGTTTCCAGAGCAGCAATATCTTTTTTTATAACACAATGTCCAAAATTGTATGCAATATTCTAAACAGTGTTTTACTAGTGTATTGTACAGTTTTAACATGACATCTCTATAGTGTATAACTGAAGTAACTGTGAACCAAACAATAAACATTTACTTCCCTGACGTTACCTCTACTCCTCACAGCCCTAGAATTCTTAACAAGCTTTAGTTTAATAGTAAGTTTTAATGCAACATCTTTTACTAAAATAATACTAATATGCTATTTATGACATACACCATTGTTTTTTTAGAACCACTAAGTGGTGAAGATAAAGGTTGTATTCTTAACTACATTCAGGGAATAAATCACAAAGCTTAGCTGTTATTTTGACTGAGTTTTTTTTTTATGACCCTGCTTTAAGAACGGCTCAATTGTAATGCTGGTAGCAGCATTTGGCTTGTATCCGAGATAGAGAGTGTGGTTTCTGAAGTAGAAGAATTGGAGTGGGCAGAAAAGGGTATTGATCTTTCTGGAGAGTGAGGCATCTCATGTTCACAAGAAGGAATCCTGTCTCTCCTTATGAATCACGATGAGTCAGTGCTGGTCACTCCTGGGACAACAAAGTTGAAAATGAAAGTTCACAGTGATATCTGGAGAAATGTTTATCCTCAAATTCAACATAGTGCAGATATTTTCCTCTCTCTAGTTCTTTACAGAAAGGTTTTGGGTAGGGCACAAGATACACGATGGAGAGCTTGAGCATTTAGGAAAATAGGTTTTCTGTTTTAAAAGTCTCCAGATGAAAGAGGGAAGAATAAGGCATTAGTAGAGACTGAGCATAATGGACAATCCTACAAGACCCAGACCCAGTCACACTCCTCATGCTCAGCTGTTATTAGCTGAGAAAAAAGCCTAACAGAATGACGGCTACATAAATATCCCAGAAACTGACAGCGTCTCTGTCACACCATCCATTTCCTTTTCATTTTCTAATCTATTTGTGTTTCTATTGCTTTCTTAATTGGATCTGTCACTAGGGAGTTTGCATAAGCAGGCCACATTAAGTATTGATTTATGTCACTTAATGCTCTAGGAGGGAAGTGTAGTGTAGATCTGTTACGGTGGCATTTCTCAGCAGCAGGTCACCCAAACCGTATAATTACTCGGCACTCCTTCTTCTGACAACTCGGTTAAAATATGCTTGTATTCCTGCTGCCTTCATTTGAGGGAGGCTGAAGGTTAGACTTGAGGTCTGATAGAGCGACATGACATTAAGAATAATTATTACTGTTGTAGGTGGAGAACAAAACAGAATTTGGACTACTCCTTCCTGATGATGTATGCTTTGAATAAAGGGGTGTACTATGTGCAGGTATGTGCATATTGTGCTTCCTTTGTATTACAACAATTGTTTTTCTCAAATCATTTTTTCTTTAGAAGTCTTAGGAGTTGATTTTGTTGAAATGATTTCAAGATTTGCTGTGCTTGTGATTGTCATAATCTGTTGTCGGTGATCCGAGTTGCAGGATTTCCCAAATGTGTGAGGGCCAAGTTCCCTTTTTCCATTGCATTGTGGACAGTTGTTTGATGTGCACATATTTAGGTATGCATGTCTATTACATGCAGCGTGTGTGCATATAGCTATGTGACCATACAAGTGCATATACAGCAGGTATGTGTACACCTGAAGCTACATGCTTCTTCCCCTGTTACTTATTAAATTTTTGTAATCTGTGTCCTCTTTTCCTCTACTGGGGGGCAAAACTTTTGGCTCAGCCAACATTTTAGTTGCAGAGATTTTGCCTTTCTACAATGTGAATGTTGCTGTGTTCAGCTGTGTACCCTGACACAGACTTCACCTACAGATATGTGGCATCAGCCTGTGGTGAAAGCAGTTTTATTATTGGTGTCACGTTAGAATTTGCCACTTCCAGTGTGTTACCTTAGCAACCTGGGCTTTTAGGAGCTGAAATATATTTTTATAAAAGAAAATAGGTTTCTCTAGAAAATCACCTAACATTTCAGCTGGAAGGCACTATAGAATTATAAAGTTGCTATGGGAACGCTCAAACAGATTTTTGTCCAGCTGTGCAGTTTGTCATTGAATTGTTCACCCCTTATACCTCGGTTTAGGCAGTCTGAGCTTCCTCATTCCACACAGCTTTTAGGAAAGTACAGGCACTGTAGGTTGGTTGTCTTTAATGAGTGAATTGAAGGGAGTTAAGTTAAACTGATTTTAGCTGATCGATCGATCCATCCATATTCGGTCTTCTGTATGGAAAAGGCACCGCGGATGGTAGACCAAGGTGAATCATTATGATCACAGTTGATTTCTTCATTTCTGGTTGAATTACATACTTGCAGTGCACAACAAGATCATCGTTCCTTAATGTTCACATCAATCCTATTACCAAGTCGGCTAAGGTTTCAGTTGTGTATCTGTAGTGCCACTGAGGGGGCTGTGCGATAAAGTGTGTCGATTTCATGACTGACGATTCTGGACTCAGTTTGATGTCAAATTGCAAATCGGCACCACAGCTGTCAGTTCCTAATTAAAAAAACAAAAGTGATGGGCAGATTACAGTGCAGCTGACCGCTCATAACAGGCACAGTCAGAGGGATGTACTTTAGGAGCAATGTCTCCTGTCCTGTTTTCAGCACTTGACAAAAGGGCAAACATCTCGCTTAAGACAGGATTTGCCTTGCGTCAAAGCACTGCTTAGATTTGCAGAAAGTATAGGTGATCTTACTACTGAGCTGCCTTGTTAAAGGAAAACTTGGAAAACTATGTAAAAGGTGTATGAAACTTAACTTGGAATCACTTGGCCTCGTTTGAATTTTCTTTTACTCTCTCATCAGCTTGAAGATGACATTGTTGCCAAACCAAACTATTTTGCCACCATGAAAAACTTTGCACTCCAACTTTCTTCAGAAGACTGGATGATTCTGGAGTTTTCCCAGCTGGGTTTTATCGGTAAGGAAACTGTCAGCGTGGCACAGAGCCAGCGCTTCACGAGTCTGTGTTTTCTGTTGAATAATTGAAAATGAAGCCTGAGGGGAGTGGTGTCAGGGTTTGTTGAGCACCAGGGACATGCACAGCGACATCAAAGCTTTTATCTTGCAGAAGAAAAGAAGGAAAAAAAACCAATATAGTAGCTTTAGACAATGAGGGAGAAATTGAAATTCTCATGTCTCTGTCACCAGCTCATTACAGAAATGTTTGCAGGAGTGAACAGAGCCCATATAAGCAGAAAGTGAGTCAAGTACACACAATCGATGAATGAATGTTTTTACAAAATGCCGTCCTTAAACTATGCAGATTCTCAGAATCCCAAACCAACAGAGCAGATGTGGTAGGTTTTGAAAACTATAGTCAACGACAACACCATGTGCGAAGATAAGAGTAGAAAAGAAGGCACTGAAACGAATAATTGAGATGATATTCAAGGACTGTGCATTTATTTGGTTTCATAAATCAACAGCACACAAACTTTTTCAGTAATTTAACCTCTTTTAGGGAGCCCATTTATGGGGTGAATCGCAGGAGGAGAAAAGTGAGCTTCCTTGTCACTGAAGGAGTGGGCGACATTTTAATTGAGTCTCAGTGCTCACAATGGACTGTCTAGTCTTTTCTACAGTGGCATTGAGCCTGCCTTTTCTCAAGCTCTTCTCCGCCCCCATGGCGTGGCGAGCCGTCAGATATTCATCAGCACGTAGGCTAATCTAAGTGACCCTGTGAGGGGAGGCACTGCCACCTGCAACCAAACCCCCCTGGCGTTGTCTGTGCCCCTGGCGGCCTTCATGTTATGGCTGCTGGGCAGCTGTTTTGGCAGATTCATGCTGTTTGTGCGCTTAGGAGTATACAGACTAATTAAAGTGCTTAATGTAAAAAATAATACCTGCCTACACACAGCTTCAGCCCTGATTTAAAAAATGATGCATCCTGTTGCGGCTGGCTGTTTAGGATGGACCAGTAGGCGGCTGAGTTGACGTCCAACGGCAAGTAACCTTGTGGTCTGCACATCTCCAGGCGATGGTTTTAAACTTAGACTCCTCTGCGTTGTTTCTTCTCCTTGCTGTGCATAAACCCCAACGGGCTGCCCAGTCCTTTTCCTCCTTACAGCTCCTGCCAGCTGTAAATCATAATGCTTTACCTCCAAAACATTTAATTAACATTTCTACATACTTAAGCAGTTAAAATCCCAGATGACAAATGTCTTGGTTGTAATAGTTTTTTTTCCCCCAATCATGTACTTCAGATACAGACATGACCCGCTAGCCTCAATATACAGGTATAGCTGTTGCCGCCACCTAACCTCACTCTGGAGTGACATTCAGCAGAGACTTCTTACACTCAGACTGCAAACAGATCAAGCGCTGCTATCTTGTGTATGCTGAGCACCTGCTGGTAACTCCACAGGGGGGTTCTAGCGCAGCGGTCTTTGCAGAATCGGCACCTCTTTGTGCTCCCCATGTTATTCTAGCAAGCGTGTGGCTTTCGGGGGCAGTACCTTGCATGAAAGCAGTGGGCCAGGTGACTCGGGAAACAGAGGCCTCTTTACGGGTCAGATTTGAGAGCCAGAAGTGATTGACGGCACTCAGAAATCGCGGAGCCAAGTCTTAGGGGAAAGAAAATCCTCTTTCCTTTTGAGCTGCCTTGGCAAGTACAGCCCGGCTTTTCAAAGCCAGAATTCAAATGCATGTAAATGCCTAAATCTCAGGCCAACCGTATTGAATTGAAGGTATTGCAGGCAGCCTAGGTATTTCTCCCCAAGCTACACGCAGTCCAGCTGGAGGGAGCTGCTGATGGGGCGTCTGGAGGCCTTGTTTCCGCTGTGTGGAGGAGAGGTCAGGGCTCTGGACTGGACTCGTTACTGGAAGGTCTTCCACTCGGATTACCTCAGTGCACATTCCTGCCTGTGTACGTGGGTACAAATCTAAGTTTGCCGCGATGAATGCGTCGGCAAGATAACTTTCTCCTCCTCGCAGGAAAGATGTTCCAGGCTCCTGACCTGAACCTCCTTGTGGAGTTCATCCTCATGTTCTACAAGGAGAAGCCCATCGACTGGCTCCTGGACCATATTCTCTGGGTGAAGGTCTGCAACCCGGAGAAAGATGCGGTAGGTCAATTCAATTCACAACAAGGTTGCCCCAAGTGACTATACATGTTGTGAATACAGAACAGAAAAGACCAGAAGAACATGGAGGAAGGGAACCAAAAACTCCATAGTAAGGAGAAAATCTTACTGTGTAAGGACTAAGTAATTTTAGAAAGATTACTTAGTAATCTTAGATCGATAGATACTTTATTGATCCCGTGAGGGAAATTGCACTGCATCAGTAGCTTAACACAGACAACACAGCCGCAGTGTAACGAATGATACAATAATAATACAATACATACAATACAATCAGTACAGTGAGAAGTGCACTAAGACCGGTTACTCACAGTCCAGAACACACAAAGAACAAACCAGAACAGAACAGTACGCAAAAAAGTTGTATTGCACAATGTGACTATAAATATAAATGTATTGCACAGGTCCCTGGCATATATTGCACTGAAACGGTTGTAAACAGGAAAAGAAAAAGAACAGATTTATAATTTTGCTGTTCTGTCCAGAAACAGGTCACTGTCGATGTTGCCTCTGCCCAGACGCAAGGTGGATGCGTTGTACAGGTTATTAATGATGATGTGTCGTATACCCTTACTTAGGGAGTAAGGCTCCCTGGGAGATCTGTATCCGACACACACTACACCTTTTGTCACTTCGCTCCACCATTTCTCTTTCTTTTATTTTCGTCTGGGTTGCTTGCAGTGTAGTTTAATCTAATAACAGGTGTGGCTCACTTTGGGTTTTATTGAGAGATTCTACAGGCACAGAGGCTGTAACATTCAGAACATGAGACTGCAGGGCAAAGTTTTTTTTCCTCTACACCGATCTCATTTTACAACCCCTGGTCTCCAGACTGATTGACCTTCTTCAATGTTTTGCAATGTCTTTTTTTTACCACTGTGCAAGACCTGATTTCATGAGCTACATAAGAAACGAGCACAGCAGACCACTTTGATTCCTTCATTTGTTTTTATTTTAGAGAACAAAACAAAACCATTTTACATATAATCAACATTACTCTCTTTCACTATACACTTTCGACTATACATCAAAAATGTATCTATTTGTTTTCTTAGTATTTTACGATTATATAACTTTTAAACAAAACTATATACATTCAAAATGAGGAAGATGTATACTTTTAACTTTACCTTAAAATACCAAGGTTTGATGAAACAAAGTAGTTTTACTGCCTGTGCTTAATTTATGTTTTCAGTTATTTACCGTTTAAAACAATCCGGCTCTCTCGCACCCTTGGGGGGTGTGTGTGCGCACACCAGGTTAAAAACCACTGGGTTGGAGTATCGGTCTAATGGAACCCAACATGGAGCAGCATAGCCAGGGGTAATTGAAGCACAAGCATGTTCAGGACTGAGAGCAGGAGGCAGCTCTTCATGACTGGCTGAGCACGTAACAAGCTGTCAGACAGTGTTGTGGAAGCAGTTTCTCAACCACTGTGCAAGACTTGACTTCATGAGCTACATAAGAAATGAGCACAGCAGACCACTTTGATTCCTGTAATTGGTAACCTTTCTGGTGCCCTTAGGTAATGAAATCGTTTGTGCACAGAACATCAAGATTGTACATGAGAGGAAGATTGCTACATTTTAAATACTTGTATGAAGTCCTGTCTTTATTTCATCTGTTACAGCCTGAATAGATAATAGACCTTTTTCTTTAAGCCTCTTAAATATAGCAGTGCTTTTGTTCTGACAAAAATGAAAACGGAGAACATCAGTCCACCCTTGACCTTTTTGATGAATGTTCTGTAACAAAGGCATGTCAAATGGTGAGAAAGTGAATTATACAGATGAATCGAGGTTGTTCTTAAACTTTCTTTGACCTGACCATTGGTACTACTGTAAATGACATTCTGAGAGCAGACTCTTGTTTAAGCATAAATCCTGCATACAGTAATCCACAGCTCTCGTCTGCAAGTTTCCTTTACCTGTCAGGAGGTAGAATTCATTTAGAGAATAAAATGAAAAACACAATTCAAATTAGCAGTAGTTTGCCTTGATCATTCGATCAAAGGTAATTACCCACACTGACCAGGACTTTGCGGAAAACTGCTCACCCACCTTGCACAATCAGGTCGGTAATTATAAGGAAAACAAGTTACTGTGTAGGCCTGGGTAATTGTAATGGCGGTGAATTGAGACAAATTGATGCCCTGCGCAGCCTTTGTAAAGGAAAATCAGAAGCAGATATTGCAACGAAATAAGAAAATAACCAGGTTGAACTGCTTTTCCATTCATCACATCAGCAATGTATTTTTAATATCATTTTCTTTGGAATTTCCTGCGCTTATTTGTTGTTTATTCCTTTCTGTGGACAAGCCATTTTGTGTGAAAGCCCTCAAAGTCTCAATGCCCTATTGAGTTTTGAACAGTGCGTCAACTTGAAGCAAGCTCGTGGCTATCACATCCATCTTTGTCTGGGTGTTTGCTGTCATCACAGGATCTCATTGAAAGTGACTGGAATAGGGTCGAAAGAGCTCAATGGTATGAAGTTAGAATTAATTTGTTTTTTCTTTGTTTGACAAAATCTGCCCGTTGTAGCTCTGAGACGTTCATTTAACTGAGTAAGGTCGTTAACATTCTAGCACTTTAATATATCCATTTTATGCTGGTGTTCAAATATATCCCTTCCCAAAATCCTTTTTTTCCTTTTTCATTACATTCTATTCTTCATGTGGTAATGCATTAACTGCATTGTTCTGTACATTAACACTCCACAGTGAGTGTGCTGCTGTCTCTCTGCCTTGCTTCCCGAAGGCCTCCACAGTAAACCTGTTTTGAAAGTAAGCCGAGCTGCGCTGTGACGTCTGGCATCCCTACGTTTGCAATTCTGGTGTGAATTTAAAAACAAACCTGGTGCAGAGATTAAGATGAAATATTGCAGTGAAATTAAACACATTTTCTGTTAAATTCCATCCGAGGTTAATGAAGGACCTGGTTGCGATATGTTGCCAAGAGTAATACAGTGCTTATAGAAAGTGTGCACACCCTTTCCGAAGTAACACATTTTGAGGCCTAAGAGCTCGCAATCAAGACACATTAAATCATAATTGATTTTATAGGCACTGTTATTGTAACTGCTTCCTTCCTTCGTGTTGTGTTTATCATCTGAAATGGATAATTCTACGCGGGGATTAAAAAATAAACCCTTAATTAGGATAAGCGGACTCCACATATGCCAGGAGATCATTTCTTCCCAATCTGATAATCGCTTCTTGTGGAACGAGAGAAAACTAAAGGGAGAGAGTGTGCTGTGGAAATGAAGTGTCATTATTTCACAGTGTCTCTCTCTTCTCCCCAAAGAACGTTTAACACTCAGTCATGCAGACAGGAGCAGCGCTAAGGGAACAAACCGTTCGCTTCACTGATCTGCTTCATTTTTTTTTAAATGTAGCAACTCCCGGAATAATTTTGTTTGTTTTAGATGGCAGCTCAGCCTTGCCGTTCTGTGGGCTGTGACAAACGGCATTCTTTCCAAAACAACAACGACAGAACTTAGAACGGCCGGGTACATCTGCAGTCATACTCCCAATCGGTTTCGAAGCATCAGTGATGGAGTCTGGGCCGCTGGTCTGGCTTCTGCGACAGATGCAGAACAGCAGATATTTGATGTGTGTTTTGTGGAGCCGTTGCTCAGTGGAGGACTGTCATGTATTAATGAAGCTCAGAGCTCAGCTGTGAGTGCTCTCTTGTGCACGGTTACACTCGAGATGGAGTCTCAGGGCCCAGACCCATTCGATGTAGGCGTCCCAAAATGTTGAATATAACCCAGACAGCCTGAGACACTCAGCTCTCAGCCAGTCCACAAGTATGTTCCAGCTGCAATGGAATTGGTCATACAGGGCGGTTAAAGTGAAAAGGTTGTGAAATTGACATGATCCAGGTTTTGGGAGTTGACAGACTAGTGCCTTTTTGGGAACGGGTTGCTGGTTTTGAGGACGTCCAAAGCTCCCCAGCCAGCTTCATTCCACCCACCCCCGGAAGAAATGCTTGAACTCGAGGAGCGACTCCCCATTGTGGGCATTGTGTCGTGGCTCAGATTAGAACCATTGACCTCCAGGCACGACTGGTAAACCTGTTTAACCATCAGCAAGAGAGTCCGTGTAACAGTAAATACACCCAGTGAAAAATGAAACTACAGGAAATGGCTAAAACCCTCCTTATCACTGTGAGTGAAGAAGCAAGACTGGAAAAACATTGACTTGTTTTTCTTGTGGTTGCTTTTATAAAAGTTGCTGTTTGTTTGGGATTTTGGAGATGGCGAGGCCCGTGAGAGGATACCCTGGGTCAGAGTTACAGAACGCATTGGCAGATATTACTAACCTTTCATACATAAAGGAAAAACGAATGCCTAATCAAGTAGAATCATACTCAAACATTCTGGCTGCCCGTGAGAATTCGTAACTTAGCATCCCTGGGAGATTTCTGTGGCTTCACTTGCTAACCTTATTTTCTTGCTACAAAGAAAAAGCGGATGTGAACTTTACTCTGAATGTCTGTTCCCCCCCCCCCATCAAATTTGTAAAGTGTATTGTCTTATGTTTACGAGGAAAGTCATACAGTAGGTGACTTTGCCTTATCTTCTCCACAGATTAAGAAAGCTTTGGGCTATGATGTGTCCCAAACCACTTAGATAGATTTCCCCCTGTGCACTGGCCCGTCAGCCCCCATCTCTCACTGTCTTGAAGATTGTATTTCACTGCCTTGTCATGTTCACCACTTTCAGCCAGTGTCCTCTACATGTACAGCATAGGCACCTCATTGGAAATGCTGCTGCGTTTGAAAAATTGCTCTTGAAAGGCCAGTTGTGACAGTCCATGTTAAGGGAAGTGTGGCTTAGTGTTGTATGTATAGTGACATTTTACACATTACAATATAACCCTATGATCCAGATATTCTTACTAATCCATGTTACTGGGTGATAAATGTCCCTAAAATAGCTCAAGTGTAACTTCTTAAGCCAAGTCTATATATAGTATTTACTGTATATATATATGAGCAGTTGAGAAGCCATGTAGCAATGCAAATCTGGTGACTTTATACAGTGCCATCAAGAACAAAATGAATAGCCTCATGTAAAGTATTAAGAATGTTCTTAATGCATGTTCTCAAAATATGTTCACAATTGGACAAACAGTAGGCTGTTTTAAGGTGTAATTAGATGTAAAGAGTTTTGTAATTAGATGTAAAGTCCACGGTGTATCCAAATCTGATAGAGGACCTTACACAAACTGTTCCTGAATTCCTGCATTTTCCTTCATATAGGTCACATTAGTAAGATGTATGCATGATATATCATGTGGGATTCTTGGCCAGTTGCTGAGTCACTAATTGAGGTAATTGAATAGTGAGCCAAGCAATTCTTTTACTCGAGCAGCATTTGAGTTTTGAATATTTTATTGTGGGATACCTTCATTCCATTAGAGTCCATCGTGATTTATGTTTGCGAGAGAAATCCCATGCCTTTGCCTCATGACATTGTTTCAGTCTAGGGCACGGAATTTCCCAGCATTCTGAGTAAGTGCCTCGAGAAAACCATAGATCACCAGACTTTCCAAGAGCCCCCTGAGCTTTGACTTTCACCAGAAGCAACAAGTCAGAATGCCTTGTCTCGAAACTGCAAACAGTTCCTCTGTACACTAACACAATGAACCTTTAGGAAAACTTCAAGCTGGCTACATTTCTTCCTGAAATAAGGCACTAATTGTTGTTCGTGTTGGAAGTAGAATCACCGTTTTGAATGGCTCGTGACAAATATTAATGTCCAATTTTTAGCTCCACCTTTTATTTCGCAAAGACACTGTGTGATTCTACCAAGTGTTTTTTATCTTTTCAGTTTTGTTTCAATTACTGAATCAATGCTGTGAAAGGTGTGTGTGTCTTTTATACTGTGATGCATCACACCATACAACACTCACAAGTTTGAGACTTCCTCAGAACAGAAAAATGGGACTTCAGCACGTTACAGTGTCTTAAAAGCATTTGATTTGGGACAAAGTATAATCTCTCTGGAGAATCTGAACATTCATTCAGGTCTTTTGTTTTGGAAACTGTGTCCTAGGAGTCTAGCAGGGTTTCTTGGGAGGGTAAAGTAACGTTACCTTTTTAAAAAGACTGAAATGGTAAAAAAAAATGAAAAGGTTTGTGAAGAGTCATTCATTATGAACTCAGTTTCTTTCTCTTTCTGTAATTTACAATGTGCAGCGATTGCAAACGGAATCAAATTTACTCTTAGATTCAGATAAACTCCACTAATTTTTAGAGTTAGGTTTGTTCGTGTTGTCAGCAACTAATGCAATATTAATTTGTAAAGTTGTTTTTTTTTAGAAGATGATCAAGAGCATTTGCACCATGTTAAATTCCTTTAATTTGCACCTTGTTTTAAGATTTTTATTTGCTTATTCGTGGTTTTCGATGTGTCAAGTGTACACCTGAGATGGAAGACAATGGAGAAAGGAGACGCAGAAAGAGAAGTGGGTGTTGGGTGTGAGTGAACGTGTGTGCACCCTGGGGTGGACCATCCTGGGTGGAGTCTGGCCCTGCGTCCTGTGCCTCTTGGGCTAGGCTCTGACTCACTCTTTCTTTGAAATATGAAGGACCTGAAAATGAATGGATTAAGAAAACTGGAGCTGACTGAAGAGAGACAAGGTGGCTTAATGGTGGCTTTGTGAGGGAGATTAAAGATATTTACTTAAGAGATTGGATAACCGATAACAGTATCTGCTGCAAAGATGTTGCCGGTTTCCTCGCTTAAAAAGAGTTAAGGGTTGTCATTGATGGTGGCAGAGGGTGTAAATCTAAGAAACTATCAAAAGTATTACAAAATGAGAGGAGGCCAATTAGTCCATGTAGCTTGTTTTTTAGTTGTTAATTGATCCAGACATTACTTGAAAGTAACAAGAGTATCAGCTTCAACAACATGGCTGTGTACTGTAGCTTGTTCTCCTACTACTCTTCGTGTAATGAAGCACCTCCTGTTGTCAGTTTTAAATGAACTTCCACATATTTTCCAGTATGCAAACTCACAGAGGTTCAGAGAAGGGCTGAAAATGTGCCAAATCTGGTACATATGAATGTACCTGTTGGCTTTTGTCAAAGTCTTGATCTGTAGGTCTGTCTTGTCCATTTTAACCTTGGAAGGGCAGGGATAGCACAAGAACTTGGAGAATGCACAAACAACACATAAATGTCTCCCTGGAGGGGCCCAACTCTCGTCCATCACAGAGGGGAGATCAATATTCAGGTCTGCCCTCAAGAGCTTTTAAAATGAATAAATTATCCTTGAAACATGCTCGACTTCTAGGTCAAGTTGTTTTGACTGGAGGCTTTAGTTGCAAACATATTAATTATCCTGCAGGTTTCATTAATTTGCGTTTATTACTTGGCCATGTGAAGTATTGGCTCTGTTGTGCCAGATGGCCAGATAATGGAGCCCCTGTGGTGTATGGAGCTGTAAGGAAATAATGTCCAGTTTACCGAGTGCTGCTGTCTAACAAGGGCACAGGCTTTCAATGTAAAAAAAAAAAATCTTGGCACAATTTCTTAACGCTTTAGAGCGGATGTCTTTCAGTGGACAGTGACACTGTGGCAGGGCTGGGGGAGTGGGAAGGTGTGAGTTTTGAGTTTGTCCCGACCCATGGCAGGGCACCGATGAGCTGGCGTGAAGCTCTGAGTGTCGGCCGGGGGACGGCTCTCAGAGAATGCTGGGAATGGTGTGAACGATGTGAAAGGCTGAGCGGCGCTTTGCCTCCAGAGGTGTTGAAAAGGCCCTGATGCGTGTCCTTTCCTCTCTCCCCGCAGAAACACTGCGAGAGGCAGAAGTCCAGCCTGCGGGTGCGGTTCCGGCCCTCCCTGTTCCAGCACGTGGGGCTGCACTCGTCACTGGCCGGCAAGATCCAGAAACTCACGGTGAGGTCACCTTCCGGCATGAAGCAGCACAGCACTGTCAGGGAGATCCTTGGGCCCTGTATTCTGTAACTGGCAGGCTTCCAAACCAGTTCATTTACTGTGAATCGGGCAGTGCAGCAAACTTAGCAATCAGTGTAGCAATGATCTCCCCTGATCAACTGATCAAAGTTAAGAAATGTGGTATTCCTGAGGATTCTTCGAGCGCATCTTTGCCTTTCAAATACGGGGCTTCTCATTTATGTTACTGCTGTAAGGGATGTTACTGTCTCCCAGCAGAGAGTGGACACTGATAGGCCACTCAAAAACCAGCTTTGCTATAGCACTATGTAAAGTTCTACCATCTCCCTACTAAACTGAAAAAAAAAATACAACTTTCCCAAATACAAACTTGAAATCCGTCTGTGCATTGAGATGTCTTTTATGTCTGAGACACTCGGCTTGTTACCGTGACTTGACTTTTAAACATTCCTTGCAACACAGAATGGATCCTCCCACACAGCGTAGCAATCAAATGCTCTTCGGGGTGGAATCGGGAGGATATTGTTTATTTTTGGGACGGGAACAATGCTGGTAAGTCACGTCAGGAATGCAAGAACTGAGGCACTTCAAGAGTTGAGCACAGGTCAGGAGTTCAGGAAGAGCTCTGAGCTGCAGAGGAACCCTGTCGAGAGCGAAATCAGTCGCTTGATAAAATCAGAAGGAGTGCTGGTGCCTTGACAATATTTAATCTATGAAAGCTCCTGTCTTGCAGTCAAGGCAGGGACGGGCTGCCCTCCTCCACAGAGCTGGATTAATTAATGCTGTTGGTGGCAGAAATGCTCAGGAATCGGTTCAGGAGCCCCGTGGTGGGTGAAGGACGCCTCTCCGTGCCCTGAAGTATCACGCTGGGGTAGCGGTCCTCAGGGTCTCTTCTTGGGGTCAGCCTTGTTTAATACCTGGGGGTGTTTGAACCAAAACTTCTGATTGGAAAACACGACTCGGGGGGGGATACCGCAGGTCTGATCAGAATTTCCTCCTGCCGGAATGGGTTTGTCAGTTTGTCCCGCTAAACTTCTGCATCCCTAGCTTGAGCCCTGGCCTCCAGGTTCGGAATGTGCGTCTGTGTAAGGCCCTGTGTGGGACATGTGTTGGAGAATTTTTTTCCCCGCTTCCCCTTAAAAGACAGTCAGGAGTCCCTTCTCAGAAGTCAGAAGAAGTTTTCATTTCATGCGCATGGGAGCGAAACACACAGAGATGCTCGGTGTGTTTTTCTCAAAGTAATTCAACTAGGACAGTCCTTAAATGTTTTTCTGTTATCTATTGCACTTCCCTGTGTTTACAAGATCGGCAGTGTTCCAAATTCACGCACATCTTCCTACCTCCCTATTTACTAAAGATAACTGCTTTTAACACAAAAGCACGCATTCCTATACAGTATAACGGTATAAAATTACATAGTAGCCCTTGTGTCCAGTATTCTTCCAATCCAGTTCAAACTAGTTCTGAATGTCCACCTCATAAAATATTGCAGCTTCTGCAAGAAAAGTGTGTACAAAGTTCACAGAGACCCTCTCAACACAGGAGGTGGAATCAGGTGCATCCTTCTTGTCTGCTCCATCCTGTGTTGGTTGCTACAAGGGAGAATATGGCTTCTGAACTGCAGTCCGCTCTGGTATTCTCCTCTCCTGAGGCAGTGACATAGCAGAGGCTCAGTAAGGGTTTAACCATAGTGCTGATGTCAGGGTTCCTCAATGAGCTCTGTCCTGCCCGGTGTCTGGTTATGACAGCCTGAGGGTAGGAGCTGAATGCCCTTGTGTCATGTCCAGGTTGTTATCTGCTGAGTGGTTTGGCAGGTGGTGTCATTTGATTATTTCTCTATTTCAGATGAAATATGCTGTGTAAGCTTTTTACAGCATACTAATGGCATAGCCACCCAGGGACACCCTGACAGCCCATGCTGAGGACTGTGATCATGTGCCTTATCCCAGATTTTCAAAACAACATGGCCATTTCAAATTTAATCCTTAAACTACATAACGCCAGTTGACAACAAATTTCAAACAGCATTTTGGAAGTAACCACGATCTATAAGATCTAAAAAAAAAAATGCTGGTCCTTGAGGCAAGTCTGGTGTGGCTAGACAGATTTTTGTAAATTGAAAAGTGGATGGGATTTGTTTTAATTTAATGGCGAATGACCTCCTGCTTGTGGCCGAAATTTTCTCAACAGGTCACCTTTGCTAATCAGTATTAGCCTCAGTAAATTTGCATTGTAATTTTTGGGGATGCTTTTGCTTTGAAGTTTTCCTCAAGCTGTATGGAGGTTTAGCTCACTGCCTTGTGTGTTTTCCTCGTGGACATGTGGTGGTTGGCACTGACATGTCACTGCTCTTGGGTCCTGCGTTCATTTCCAGCCTGGCTCACCTTCTGTGTGGAGTTTGCATGGTCTCCTTGTGTTCACGTTCCAGCTTGCTCACTAGGACAATTGGCGACCTCTAAATTCTCTCATCTAAAGTTATGCTTGTGTGTGTGCGCCTGCACCCTGTGATGGACTGCCGTCCTCTTCAACGTGTAGCCAGGGCCTTGCCAGGAATAAGTAACCTCTGATGATACAAGAATGATTTACAGCAACGAACTCTCACAAGCTGACATTGACATGAGCTCTTAGGTGAAATGATTGAATTCCTGAAAGATAAGTATGAATCAGCATCTGAAGTCAATTCTTTCCCTTTGTTTCAGGACAAGGACTTCCTGAAGCCTTTACTTCACAAAATTCACGTTAACCCTCCGGCAGAAGTCTCCACGTCTCTCAAAGTGTACCAGGGCCATACTCTGGAGAAGACCTACATGGGCGAAGACTTCTTCTGGGCCATCACCCCAATGGCGGGAGACTATGTTCTCTTTAAATTCGACAGGCCCGTCAATATTGAGAGGTGACCAGAATATACAGTATATCTTGTGTGTTGTGGAGGTGTGGTATCAGTGATCTTCTCATGAAGTGAAACCAGGGGAAACGAACACACTAACTAAATAACACTAAGATAAACAACAGTGGTGTTCACTCACAATGAGCAGAACATAACCATATCTCTCAGAGCTCTAGCTAAGCTCTCTGTACACAACTGGGCTACTTACTTACTGGCTCCAGAATGAAATTCTCTTCCAAAAATTCCCACTTCTCTAAGGTGTCCACTGGTCGTTTATCAGTCACCTGCTTCCTCGCTCCCTTTTCACTCTGTTCTAGTGCATAACAGAAGTTCTGCCAGCTGGAAGCCTCTGCATCCTCTGCACCCATCTTGGGTTTAACAGTCACCCAGCCAATCATCTTTCACCAATTGGTCAGGTGACAGAGGAAGGCAGTTAATTTCCCATTGCTTTCTGGGAAATGTGGTTCTGAGTGGAGCCTGCATCTTGTTTCTACTTACTGCTCTTTTATAATATATACTGTACAGCAGAATTGTCCAGTTATTTTGAGTGAAACACATCCAATTCTTTTCTCTGAGTACTGAAAGGTGGGTCAGCACTGTAGATCCAGAATTTAAGTGACCTGTGAGCTGGGTCTTAACTTTTTTTTAACTTGGTTTATTTTAAAATGTTATCATCGATTGCGTGTACATCCGTGCGCAATAGGACATAATATTTATATGCTCAGTTCTCTGTGGCCCTCCAGGACCAGGAGAGCATATCACTTACATAAGCTGTTCAACTAGTGTACTTTTACAGAAGAGAGCCCTGTGGCACTTTACCTTTCATACTAAAGGCGCTAATTGCAGGCAGTCAGCTCATGACCCAGCAGAATTGCTCATCTGTCAGCTCATGACCCAGCAGACTGGCTCTCCAATGCCTAGGTATGTTGTTGTTCATTAAGAATGGTTGCTGACAAGAGAAGGCCATTTAGCCCATCTAGCCTGTTTCGTACTTTGTAGCTAATTGATCTCATCCAGCTGTTTTCTTGAAAGAAACTATTGTATCGACTTCAGCAAGGCTGGGTAGTTTCCATACACCCATGTTCCTGACTCCCACAACTCTTTGGGTAAAGATGTGCCTCCTGTTCTCTGTTTTAAATGCTCTTCCAACTGAGACGTGTTGGCTTTGGCATCTCCAGGGCCCAGCCTTTGTTGTTTTTTTTCTTTTTAAATATTCTCATGATCATTCACTCTTTCTTTACTAAAACGTTCTAAAACCCTTTGGTCAGCCTGGTTCTGCTGACTGCACGTTTCTCTAAGAAGATTCTAAATTCTGGCATTTGTAGAATGGAAATATGCAGAAAATGTAGAAATTCATTGTGGTGTCCTGTTTTCTTATTTCCATCCAGAGCTGTTTCAGGGCTGTTATGTAATTACCATTACTTGTTTGAAAAGGGAAAGAAATTGCTGCAATTAGACTGTCCCTGGAGGTCTCCCAGCTTTTAAGTTGCTGTACTTCTGTTTTGGCTGGGATGCCTGAGGATTATGTTGTGAGAAAAAGGAGGAGTGGAAAATGTTCTTGTGAGAATGAATTCCGCATCAACAGTGCAGCAAAGACCTTTTACTTGTGTGTGTGTGTAGCATGACTACTGTAACATGAGCAGGGCCTGGTTACTCTCTGAAGACAGATATTCCATCAGCAAAAAGTTTTTTTTACAAATCTCAAGGGATAAAGAGTTAAGTGTTTTTTGAAAGTTGAAAAGCTTGACGTTTCCAGTTTGTGAACTGTTCAGTCCATTTGTAAGAGTACTTTAAAAAAATAAATGTAATGAACTTTAAAGACTGTGGAGCTGAAGAGATGATTCCTGAAGTTGCGTCTTCATGAAGCTGATTACAAGATTGCAGTAATTCGGATGACTGTCTTATTTTGATGCTCTTATGTATGTAGCCTTATTGACCTGTAGGTTATAGTACTACACTATACCTTCCTGCAAGAACTCCTTTCTAGATGAAAGGGGCTGATAGGAGTATTGGGAAGGCTAGCTCATCTTTTTAAAATCTTTTTAAAGAGGAAACCACCTCTTTGTTACTGAATAGTACAGAGTAGGCTACAGTTTGCTTTTTGCTTATTATAACCAAGGGATAAAAACTTTCAATATGAAGAGTCAAGGGAGCCGTTCCAGATCTTAATGGATTTTCTATGTATGTGATCTTGGAACAGAGAATTGCAATACAGGGGAGTGGCAATAGGGTCTAAGGAGTCTGTGGTGGAATTTATTTCAGGTACCTGCTGAGACTGTGCAAGGTGAGATGTTCTAAAGTTGAAAGTGTATGAACTAAGCTCTGAAGTGGAGCTATAAGATGCAGGCTGGCCTCTGATTTTATTATTTTTAGACCATAAAAGCTCAGAAGATTGATTGCACTGGTCAGTACAGTGTGTAAGAGTAGTGCTCTTAACTGGATTCAGGAGATGAATTGAAGAAAACCTTTTCCTTTCTGACTTAGTGGTTAATGCAGTACTGTAGTACTGATGGTGTTGCTTGAATGCATGTCAATGAGATAGGCATTCTCTGATCATGAGGTTTAACAGAGAAGCGTTGATTGCTGTGCTAACCAGAGTGATACTGTACAGACACGAGTCTTCTTGACTTTTACCAGAGCTGAGGAATCTATTATGTCCCCCACTGCGGATTTGTAAAGTATAATGGAGTCCTTGGGTCTAAATTGGCCAAGGGTAATGGAAAATCTGAATGAACAGGCCTCATGTTGAGAAACTTGACTGGATAATTAACAAAGAGCTACAGTAGATGATCCTGAATGCCTATTTCAAGAACAGGAGGGTCACTAACAGTCCGATCACAGGTGATGAAGAGCGTTTGCCCTTTGCTATGAGTGATAAAGCAAAGCCAAAACACGTAGGAGAGCGCAGAAATCTGCTGTAACAGAACAGAGTGTCAATACAAATGTTAAATTTTCCTATACCTTACCTTAGTTCCCCATTAATTAAAATGCTGAAGAATTTTCTCACTTCTTCCTCTGATCTGCTGTGCAGTGGGGCTGCTGGTGCAGAATGCCCTCTGTGTGTCACCCAGGTGGGGCTGCTGGTGCAGAATGCCCTCTGTGTGTCACCCAGGTGGGGCTGCTCTTCAGTGTTGGATCAATTAGGTCCCTTCCTATATGCAAAATGCTTTAGATACGTCTTTGAGGATTAAATGCAATATATTAATTATTATTAAAAACATTTATTCAGTACCTAAAAGCTGTGTATTTTATTTTACTGAAGACATAGAATGATAAAATTCTTCTGATGTACATATAAAGTAAAACAATTGCTACTGTCAAACAGCAATCAACGATAAACACCCCCCCCACTCTTCCCCTAATGGATATTTTCTATTCATTAGTCATTGCTGTTTGGATTTCCAGGCTGCACCGGGGATGCTGAAACTCTAAAGGCCCGCTCTGAGTACAAATCAATTGATCATTAGCTCCATCATTAAAGTGTTGCCAGGTGCCTTTTAACGAGTTGATTTAAACATGCGCCGCTGCCCCGCGGGTGTGGGAGCTCCTGCGGAGTGAGGGGCCTCACAAGAGGGCAGAGAGCACTTTCTGAAAGGTGAAGGCTGCAGGAAGAATGAGAAATGTGGCTCCTGTCTCCGTGGCCTTTGGACTCCCACCACAGAATCCAAAGACTGATTTACAGCGATCTCAAACGTTTATGTTCAGCTGAATCATGTGCAAGTCATTCTTCTGTTATCTTCTGTTAGACTGTGACTTGGGACATGTAGTTTTCTGTACAAAATTGGACCTGCTTTATTAAAGATGGTGAATTTTATGATTTCACAAAAACCTTTTCTAGAGTTTTGTTTAGGGATTGGAGTACAGTAGGCCAACTTCCTGTGGCCTTGAGATCTTTGGTCCTTCCAGTTATATTTTAAAAGGGGCACTTCAGGGTTTGAAGCCACAGAACAAACCAAATACCGCAATTATTGTAAGCCTTGTGCAGCATCTCGCTCCGTGGTAATATATAATAATAAACTCATTTATATAGCGCCTTTAAAGTAACTTCTTATGTAAAGCTTTAGACAGTAGGGTGTTTCTATATGGGAGCATATATTGGGTTAATTTTCCTTCTTTGAAAACGTTCTGCCCCCTTCAGTTCCAGCTTGATTTGTGAGGAAAGCAGTAACTGCAGTATTTGCTATAGGGTCTCACCCAGGGTCGAAACGTGACGTCTCGCTAGGTGGAAGCTGACGAGCTGCGGCGCCGTTTGAAATGAATCTTATCTGCAGTCGGAACCATCCTCCGAGGCAGAACCGCACGAGGACCCCAGACTGGCCCTAAAGGAGTGTAAACGCCCCCACACCCCGTCTCTGCCACTCACTGGTGGCAGGACAAGTTGGAGCAGGAGTCACAGCCAGAGCCAGACTGGCCTCCTAGTGATGCCACTTCAAATGCTTCCCTTTAATGAGAGACGGCTGTGATCTGAATAACATCGTCAAATCGCACTCCAGAAAGGAGTGTCATGTGTCAAGCAAAATGCATCAAGGGCACCATGATGGTGGTATTTTAGATTTTATTATTGGGCGCCCTTAAAATACATGTTGTCTTCAAAGGGTTGAAAAGTCATTGATTTCCCCCCATTCTGGGACTCGTTAATCCAGGTGCAGGGCTTTAAATGTCACAGCCGCGATTCTCTTGCAGCTTTTAAAGGGCAGGAAAGCGTGGGGAGCTGCAGGCCAAGGTGGAAAGCAAGAAGGTTGCAGCACAGTGGGCACGTCACTGGCTCAAATACTCGAGCGACCGAGATGGAAACATGCGTTCGATTTGACACCGGAAAATCTTGAATGCCTCTCTTAGAAAAAAAAAAGGGAAAATGGGTTTTATGGATACGACGAGTGCTGCACAGCAAGTTGCTATTAAAAAGCACTGGGATTCCTGCCAGCCCGCTGGAAGACTCCTGGAGCCATGATGTTTAAATCAATTATCATTAGTTTCCAAACACCAGACCTTGCTTACAGTGCGACTGGTGTAATAGAAAAAGCTGCAGGGTCCTGTTAGTGGATTGATGGTCTGGTTATAAAAGATCCATTATAAACAGCGAGTGCCATTCGTGTAGGTGAGCCTATCATTTCGGCAGTGTACTGTAATGGCTAGTCTAGGGCAGGTGCTGAGGCATGCTGTAGTGGTCACCAGAGCTTGGGTTGAGTGCCACTGTCCTTTGCAGTAATTTCTGCCCTTACATTTAATAACCAGCCCGTACCGGAGCTGGAGATGATGGCTGGGATTGATTGCATCGTTTTCCCGGGTACTTGGCTGTGGCTTGCTTCCTTCCTTACCAGTTTGTTCAGTATCATCGGCTTGGCTCAGCTGATTGTGAGCATTGTACAGCATTAAACTTTCACCATGCAAAACTAATGATCTTTAGAATTCACGTTTTAATATATTTTATGTTTTCAAAAGGCCTTCGGTTTTTCTGTGTTAAAACATCGGGAGCCGTTAAAACTGAAATTACAGTATAAATCTAAGAAGAGTTTATAAACAGTTCCCTTCCTTCTCCCTCTTTCTCCGTCTACTACCGGGACACCTGAAGATAATTCTGACCCACAGCTATCAGAAAAAACAGAAGTAGTGGAGTTTGTTTTGCTGGATTTTTGATTATGCGATTCATTTATATTAGCAAGCCCTAGACAGACTGTAACAATCAGTCTTTAAAAATGATACATACATGGAACTTGAGTTTGCCTCTCTGCTTGAACACTAAAGCCTTCAATGTTTTGGCTACGCTGCTATTGACGAGGATTGAAGAATTCAGCCTTGAATGTTTGTTTTTTCTCAGACATCAGACCTGCATGTTTCTAACGTTTCAGACATCACTTTGTCTCTTGTCAGCTTTTTGGCTGGATTTTCTCTTTCTTCATGCAAAGTTGAAGATTTTGAGCTCTTTGTCCAGACCATGCTGCCCAACCTATATGAACATTCATTTTTCATATGTTTTGTATAAAGCTTTGGTTAAGGATTGGGAGGTTCAAACTCATTAAATTCTTCGAATGATAGGTTGCTCTCTGAAATCTGTTTCAGCTTTGCAAGACAATAGCGTTTTCTCCTTTTAACCTGTGTGTATGTCTATATATGTATGTGCCTTTGAAAAACTCATAGCGAATGTTTAATTGGACAGTATTTGAAGGTTTGGCCCGTCAGGACTGTGTATCATAGTCCTGGGACAACACCTGAACCTTGGCTGTTTGTTTCACAGGTACCTGTTCCGCAGTGGAAACCCAGAGCATCCTGGAGACAAGATCCAAAACACCACTGTGGAAATCATGCCCGTCTCGGTAGGAAACACCGGCGAGCTTCGGGATTATTTTAGATGACTGAGCCCTCGTTGTCTGAAGAGAGTGGAAGGACTGCACAGGCATTCTGACCACTTACAGCTGAATCCGAAGTGTAAATATAAAAGAAGTGACTAACAAATCTGACAGCGAAAGGCTCTTCAATGTCCTGGAAATGTCAGGATGGAGAGTTCCCTGGCTCTCTGTAAGACAGGCATAAAGAAAATCATAACAGTTTAAAAAATGTTATTGAACACACTGCAGTACAATGCAATGAAATGAAATGAAACCACAGAATTGTGGTTACTAGTTCTTAACTGTTGACACCATTGGTATACATGTTTAATACAGTAAACCCAAGTTTGTTTTTTTAAATGTTGTCTTAAGGGTAAATATTGATGTGGTCAATATTAATATGACCATAAATAGCTTTAGCTATTTCAGGATGCCACCAGATCAGAAAATCCTGATCAGTTAATCATCAGTTATTGATCACTTGGATCAATTTTAATGTGATCAGTTAAATAGGTGATTTGAAAATGAAGAATTTTAGGTCTTATTTTAGAAAAAAATGAAAACATTGTGGCTCCTAAAGACTAGCATTCTTGTAACTGAAGAAGATACTATATTAACAGATCAGTAAAGTAGAGACGTTTCTAGTCTGAGATTTTAAGTTGGATAACCGGCCTGGGCCCTCCAGGACCAGATCTCCAGGGTTGGAGGTCTTTGAATTAATTAATTAGAAGATGGCAGATTTTAAGCCATATGGGGTTAATATCTTTAGGTTTGTTTTCGGAGTAACTGATTTAATAGGAGAACTTCCTGAATACACACACATTCTGTGTGTTGATCATCTTAAACTTGCAGCCGAACCTCTCCTTGGCTGCAGGGGATGTCGCAATTTTGTGTTTAGTCAGTCACAGGCTGGTGAGCAAAACGGTGGCCTCTCCCTTCCTCTCACTCTGAAATGCAAGAGCGCTTTGTTCTTGTTTGACGGCAGTAACCCCAGCTGGCGCAGAGGCAGAATTCCTGACCTCACTGGACAGTGAGTTTGCCCATGAGTTATCCTAACTGGCACCAAAGAGTTTTTTTTTTCCTTTAAAACAAATTAAAACTCATGGATCCTCAACTGAGTGTAACACAACCTTGAGGCAGGTGCTCGGTTTGATTATCCGGTATGTGCCTCTGTGCTGCTGACCTGTACTTAATATTTCCAATCACTTTGCCAATCCATGGCCAATCGTGAGTGAAGAGGAAGTGAGAGTGTTACATTTTGTTCTGACTACTGATTGTGAACTGTCCTTTGAATGGAATGTCTCTGTTTCTCAGGAAGCTGGACTGGAGACCAAAGATAAATCCAAACGAACAGAAGACCGCTTCTACAGAATCGGTAAGCATAAAAGGGTTTCTTGGTTTGTGAGTGGAACTAAATGTTAACTGTGAGGTGCCAATGTTCCAGTAGTAACTTTAAAAAAATAATGGATATATGCTGCTAGAAATGTAAAGCTCTGTCTTCTCGTTGAGTTTTCTTGTTTGGCCAAGGTGCACAACCCCTTCCTGGCTGCAGAGCCTGTAGACCTCTGGTCTTTCTCTGGTCTTAATGACAATAATTGAGCTGATCATTAGCTTAACAGGAGCGGTTTAACACTTGTCAGCTGTGGATGTAAACACTCCCGCTGGGCTCTGGTCCTGGGAGGTTATGCACCTGTGGTTTGGCTCAGGACATCTCAGACTGATTAATAGGTAAATGCTTTATCTTCCAGCTGAACGTTTGCCTGCATAGTTGAACCCTTAATTACCCTAATTAGAGGATCCCTTTGAATTCTTTGTTTTCAGTTGCCAAATATGTTGGCGGTTGCCTTTTTATCACGTTTCAGAATTTCAAGCCGAAAAACGAGCACATGCGAGTTCAATGAAATAAAGAGCACAGCTGGAATAAAATCCAGCAGGTGAGAAACGGCTTCAAGGAACAGGGCTTGGAGTCCCCAGTCTACCTCTTTTCACTGGAGTTGATCTCATCTATCCCAGGGCCAGTCAATGAAAGAACCACACACTTCTCTGACAGTCTAGAGGAGTCCATTCAGCCAGTCTAGCCCATGTAGTCGTTGGTAGCTAATGGATCCAAGGATCCAGACGCTTCTTGAAAGAGCTTTGCTGCAGATTCCCACCACTCTTTGTGTAAAGATGTGTCCAGTCCTGACTGGAGGATCTCATCCAGCCGTTTCTTGACATAAACTGGGGAACCGTCTTCACCAGCATGCTTGGTAGCCCATTCCATGCTCGCATCGCCCTCGAACCTTTGTCCTCCTGTTCAGATTTCCTCTCCATTGTGTGGTACTGGATTGGAAAAGCCAATGCCAATAATTACAAGCAGTCCAGATTAAAGAAATAGCTACACCTGCATGTATTGCTGCCCGCTACTGGAATCGACGTCGTTGTCCTCTACCTGGAGGCCGGCGCCAGGAGGTGGACCCGCAGACTGTGATGGCGCGAGAGCTGGGCTGCCTGGGCGGTGCCGACGCTGAGTGGGGACTCTTGTGTGCTTTCTCTTCAGGGCAGTTTGAGAACGGGGTGGCAGAGGGCACCGTGGACTCCAGGTTTAACCCCGTGGCAGCGCTGCGCTTGAATGTGCTCCGGGATTCGGCCGTGTGGGCCATTCTGAGCGAGGTGAGAGCCTGCTGTGGTGCCGCAGCCAGGAGCACTGCCGGGAAGTGGCACTAAACAAAGTGCCGTTTTCCTCTTTAATTATAAACTCAGTAAGGATAATGGGCTCTTCTGATGTTTTTGAACTTTATTATAAATATTAACAGGTCTGTATTCCTACAGTCAATTCCATATCCTAGAAAAAAATACATTTGGTCCAATTAATGAAAAAGTAATGAAAACCCACAATCTTACTTTTTCTTAAGCTGCTGTTGGTTTACCAACCTCATTTGTGAATGAATTTCTGTCTGCCACGTGCAGTCTGGGCACTGAAATGGACCGTTTCCTCTCATGGGGGAAAAGTACAATATTTGAATGTTGCCATTGTGTCAAAAGTGAGATAATCCTGTGGCACTTAGTCGGTATGTCAGCTGGGAACCAAGGCTCTCTTACAGTGACAGCCTGTGAGGTTCATTTATACTGCTGGGCATTTATTGCAAAAGTGTGAGTGAAGTAATTTACTTAAGGACAGAACGGTGGTGTCCCGCCTGAGATTTGAACCCACAACCCTCCAGTGAGGAGGCTGGAGTCCTGCTCCACTCCTCGGCCTTTATTTTGTTCTCTGGGGAAGACTCTTGCATGTAGATATATAGGGAGGCTGGTAACTGTCATTCCGTTTTGGGAACAGATGGCCAAATCTGTGAAAATGCACTTGATCGACGTTTGTTTTTCACAGCTCGTATGCACAGTGTAACGCCTGCTTCCTTTCTTGTTTCCTGTCAGATCCACATCAAAAGAGTGTCAGGCTAACAGCCCTTGCTGGTGTGAGACAGTTCCGCGCTGCCCTTTGTGAACAGAGGCCTCGCTGCAAGCAGCAGCAGAGCCAGTGGAAGGACATCTGGCGCTTTCCTGTCTCTGGGAACGAAGGACGCTCTGAGTCTACCTCTTGTGAATACTACTGTACAGCAGTTCCCCAGCCCCCCACTGGAAACCTAACGCGCATTCCCACACCAAACCAGGTCACCTAAACTGCCAGCAGGAAGTGCAGAAAATACCCAGAGTGCTCCAGCCACCTTGACACGCAGCTCGTTCTGGGAAGCCCAGGCTGGGAGGGTAGGTGTCGCTTTTCTAGGGCACGCTTCAGTTGAACGAGCCACAAGGTGGTCCAGAAATCTCCACCAGAGTACGCCAGTTCCGTGACGGAGGTGACAGTCTGTCCCGGGTCTCCTGTCCTCTCAGGACAGGGCGGTGTGCCTGTATTCTACACCAGTCTCCAAACACAAACTGTTTGGGATGAACCCTCTGGAGCCAGAGCCAAACACCGCTAAGAAACAATAAGCCAGCAGCTGTTCAGTTCATTCCACAAAGGGGAACCAACAAATAATCACACTGTGCAGTTTTCTGTTTTGTGAGGCTAATGACCTGTGTCATCCATGAATCAAGCAGTGTGCTTCAGGTGGGCGTGTTTTGAGTTTCTCAGTGGCTTTTTCTGAGAACATTGTGCCAAGCGCTCCTTCAACTTCATAACCTCTCACAAATGGTTGCTTTTCGTTATTAGAGGGGAAGCTTGATTCTTGTTATGCAAAAGTCCATTCGAGACCATGAGGTCGCTTAGCTGGAGTAATGTTAATTTAGCTGCCCGTTTTGCTTCTGTTTTTTACACAATAAAGAATTGTCTGATACCTTCATTCTCAGTCTAGAATGCTAGCATCGGGTTTGAAAATTAAATGTGTTACAAATGTGTTGGTATTCGCATTGTCGTCTGCTGTGCGAATCAACTTTGTGGTTACTGAACACATCGGTCACCCAGGCACAGAAGAGGCTTCTCTCCAGCCACCTGGATGTGTCCAGGGCGTCTGAGGGCCTGGCTGGGAAGTATTGTTCACTGGGCCCACACAGCTAAAAGGTTTAGAATAATGGAAACACTTTCACCAGCTTTGTTTAATGTATTCATATAAGGAAATCTGGATTGCAAATGTTGTAATGTTTTATATACATATAAATGAAACCAGATTTCGAACCGTAATAATATGCTGACAACTATATATTCCCATTTTTGGATGTTTCTTCAAAAGTGCTCTCAAAACATCTTTTTAAAAGCTTGGTTGATGATGTCAGTCATGATGGTGAAACAGCTCAAGCAGAAACTGAAAATCACATGGAAAAAAAATGATTAAATGACTGAAATATGTGCAACACAAGACATTTTCACTTCACTTCTCCCTTTTCTAAGATGTAATGAAATTGAAAAGAGGGCGAGACTTTTAACAGTGGCTGGGGTATCTGTCCCGAGCACGTTCAGTTCTAAGTCGAACTGTCCCGCAATATCAGTCTTGTGGCTTCCCGGCCCGGTTTCAGGCTATGAAATCTTAAACCGATCGCCATCGCCGTGAACGAAAAGCAAAAACTAGTGTGAACATTTAAACGTTTATGTGATGTCAGTTCGGTTATTTGTTGCCGCTGGTGAATTCCTGTGACCCAGTTCCGTGAGCGGTTCAGGGACAGGCAAGTACTGGGCTCCAGACACAAAGAGCTTCGAATGGTAGTCAGCACACTGAATTCAGGAATGCATCTTCTCAGACATGTTGCAGCGTTAGATAATATAAATCATACATACTTTTCAAAAGCAATTGTTGTATAAACCTGGATTAAAAAGGTTTGTTGAATAGTAGTGCTATATGTACTTCAGTTTACCTCTGTGTAGAGTATCTGTAAAGCTTCTTTCTCCATTCATTTGAAGGGATATATTATAAAGGATGAAGGTTAATTTATTATCAATACACATACATTTGTGTGTGTGAAATTTGTAAAGGTAGAGCTTTTCCTTTTTTACAAATGTCAAAATTTATTTATTTTTGTTTAAAACAAAGGATGTACTGCCATTTCAGAATCCGTTTGGGTGAATTTTCTTGAATTTGTACAAATAAAAGCGTCCTTTTTAGCGCTGAAGGCATATTTTAAAAGTGTGTGCCTTAATCGTCCAATTTCTGATGCAGTTTATCTTTTTAAACTGAAAAGAATGTTTTCACTCAAATGAGAAACAGCAGTTAGATCAAAATTGATATGCGGCCCAAATAACATTTACATAGGCTTGCAGTTTCATTTCTCTTATAACAGTGCAGTACTTTAGTATTTTTCATACAGAAAATATTTGTATGTGCCCAGAGTTATAGAAATATTAGTGATTTTTAGACCAAATGGCTAGTTTGTGTTCCATACAACTACAATCATCTTATAAAGCTGACAAATGTTCATGCCATTCCAGATACATGCCTTGTTTTAAAAACGTGCAATTAAATAAAAATAAACGCCTTAAAATGTTGTTAAACTGTTCGGCAGAGTGTAAAACGTAGTCTTGGTGTTGTTTCTGAATTGTACTGTTAATTATCTGACCAGATTAAGTTATAGCATTAGCCTGTGAGGCCTCCCTGCTTTTGGAACAACGGGGAAGAGTTCGAATATGATCCAATGGGCAGTTCATGGGTTATGATAACAAGAGTAGGTAGTGTATACTAAGCGCTGGGATAGCTGCCTTTGATATTTATTCTTTGTTTTTTGGAACTAAATAAAGGACTATCATTCCAGAATAAGAATTCCCCTCAAAGGCAGATATTGAATCTTATATCGAGGCACATGCATTAACAACAGTTCGTTTGCGTTTATTACATAGGTTTGTTGGCAAATAATTTTCAGCATTTAAAGGAAGTCTGCCTGTTACAAACATCCACAGTTTGTGCCTTCATCTGTTTCATCTTGTATCACAGATTTACGTGGCTATTATTGAAATAAAACTTGACCTTGGTACAATGCTGGTCTTTAATTTTTTTTTTTCCTCTTGAAGAGCACTTTCACTTTCATCCTGTGTGATAAGACATATTGGCTTGTTAAACACGGAAAAGCAGAGTCTCCACAAGGGAGGGTTGTAATTCCTCTTTACTTTCGTTAGCCTTCGAATGATTTTTCCGGAGTGCAGCCCAGTGGTTCATGGGAACATTAGAAGGGTTACAGACGAGAGAAGGTCATTGGGTCCGTCTAGCTATTTGGTTAATATTAGCTAATTCATCTGAGAATTTCAGCCATCTTTTTCTTAAAAGACACCAGAGTATCAGGTTCAACCACATGGCTGGGGAGTTCCACACTCCCACCACCCTTTGTGTAAAGAAGCACCTCTTGTTTTTTTCTTCCTTTTACTTTTCCACATGTGGAAATTGATGGCAATACCCTTCAACTCATTTAAGGTCACATAGTTTCCACTTGTTTTTCTGTAGATTGGGTTTCACTAACTAGGCTGAAGATTCTTTTTCTGATGGATGGATGTTTTTTTTTAAAAAAAAAGAAAAATACTCCATTACTCCTCCGTCTTAGAGAAAGACATGGAGCGTACATTGGAAATTTAGGTTGGCAGGAATTAATATGAAAATGAAGACGGAACACCTTTTCACACAGGGGATGTACAAAGTTGGCTTTGTATTATGCTCCAATGATGTTTTTCTTCAAGACCCTGAATCAACTTATTAAAACGCAAAATAAGCCTCTCCTTGTCACAAAACATTCACTTATGGCTGGAAACCAAAAGAAGTAAGATGTGTGGTCTTTACTGAGGAGGGGGAATAGAGTGCCAGCAACCATATCACTCTGCAACTCACAACTGGCAACCCACTGAAGCTCAATAGGTGTGAACCTGGTCAGTACAAACCACTGGCACTTACATCACACCTAATGAAAACTCTGGAAAGGCTTGTACTGGACCACCTCAGAACCCTGGTGAGTACACCACTGGACCCCCTGCAGTTCGCCTACCGGTCACACTTGGGAGTGGAGGATGCAGTCATATATATCTGCTACACAGAGCTACTTCTCAACTGGAGAAGACGGGGAGCATTGTGAGAGTTATGTTCTTTGACTTCTACAGTGCCTTTAATACCATCCATACACCTTTACTGAGAGATACGCTTAGGACGGCGCAGGTGGACACTCCCCTGCTGTCCTGGATTATAGACTATCTGACCTGCAGGCCACAGTATGTACGGCTACAGAGCTGTGTGTCTGAACAGGTTGTTAGCAGTACTGGGGCTCCACAGGGGACTGTCCTTGCTCCATTCCTGTTCACCTTTTACACCTCTGACTTCAGGTACAACTCTGAGACATGTCATCTGCAGAAGATTTCGGATAACTCTGCAATTGTGGGGTGTAGAGGGGGAGGGAGGAGGAATATATTAACACCAGCAAGATCAAAGATCAAAGAAATGATCTTCGACTTTCGAAGGAATAAGTTTCCGCTGAACCCCGTTTCCATCCAGGGTGAGGACATAGAGGGCGTACATTCCTACAAGTACTTAGGGGTACACCTGGATGATAAGCTGGAGTGGTCTGATAACACTGATGCCCTGTACAAGAAAGGTCAGAGCCAACTCTATTTTCTTAGGAGACTCAGGTCCTTTGGTGTGTGTGGAACACTGCTACACAGTTTAATGAATCAGATGGTGGCGGCCATCTTCTACACTGTTGTGTGCTGGGGCAGCAGTATCATGACAAGAGATGCAAATAGGCTCAATAAACTTATCAAGAAGGCACTGTGTTGGGGATGAGCCTTAACCCCATGGAGGTTGTGGCTGAGAGGAGAATGTTGACCAAGCTCACAGCCATCATGAACAACACCTATCATCCGCTTCATGGGACTGTTACTGATCATCACATTTTGCACACACCTATGTATTTATTTTTTTTTGTTGTCTTTTGTTTTATAACTATTCTGTTGTCTGTTTTTGCTTGTCTTGGGCTGGAGTGCTGTAACACATCAATTTCCCTACGGGATTAATAAAGTATTATCTATTAAAAATCCCAGGACGTTTCTCGAAAAGAGTAGGGGGTGTAACCCTGGCATCCTGTCCAAATTTCCCAGTGGCCCTCACCAATCATGGCCTCCTAATAATCCACATCTATGAATCTGCTTCATTCCTCTGTTCTCCTCCCCAATGATAGCTGATGTGTGGTGAGCTGTTGCATCATCCAGGTGGATGCTACACATTAGTGGTGGTGGAGTGGTGTCCCCATTACCTGTAAAGCGCTTTGAGTGTACTGTCCAGAAGAGCGCTATATAAGTGTAAGCAATTATTATTATTAGAGACATCCACTTATGTTTTCCTGGGAAATTTCACACTTGCTGAAAAACCTTCCGCAGTTCTCAAGTCTTAACATCTGCAGATGACACTACTGACCTCTGGTGTTTGATCAGAATTATTACACTAAAATTGCTGTAATGTTATGGATACCTGAATAGGAAGTGTTTTAAAGAAGAGGGGACCATTAGGCCCATTAAATATGGTTGCCTGTAGCACATTTTATCCAAGTGTCTCGTCCAACCATTTCATTAAAGACTCCAATGACCCTTTGTGTAAAAAAGTGTCTCCTGTTCACGGGTTTAAATGCACACTGCAGTTTCCACAGGGGCCCTTATCGATCGGCATTCCTTTCAGACTAATAATGTATCTGCTCTGGTCTGATTCCAGAACAGAAATATCTTT